CAGGTGATCTGCCAGTCTGACATAATTAATAAAATGTAAAAATAAAGCTCTTAAAAAGAATAAATATAGAATATATAGAAATTTATAGTATTCTTCTAATCAGTCCACTAATACTACTACTACTATAACTATATAAAAATACTATAATCTTAAAAGCTGTATTCAGATACTTTTTCTATATTATATCAGAGTTAATATAAGGAATAAACAATAGGACTTATTCAAAACAATAGCTGTTCAGCCAGCATTACCCACAGTCGCTAATTCATTCCTTGAATTAGGACTATAGATCTATTACTTCTACTAATATGACTTATATAATACTTTTCTTCTCTAAAGAGAAGTTATAGAATTCTTAGCTTTTATAATCTTTTTTCTTCTTATAGCTCTTATAGTATATAACTTATAGTTCTTATAGTATATAATTAATTAGAAGTCTAGTAGAAATAAATCTTATTCTATTCTTTAATTAACTAATATTTTTATAGTAGATCTTATACTAGTCTAATCTTAATTCTTAGGACTAACTACTAGCTATAGTAGTAGTCTAAATCTACTTTAGAAGTTAATTATAATAGTAGTATATTTAGTAGTCTAATTAGATTCTAATCTATTTTAGTAGATAAGACTAGAATTTAACTCTATAACTAAATCTAATTAGATCTAATTACTAAGAGATCTATCTAGTCTTATTAAGAGTATAAACTCTTATAGATTTGAATTCTTAACTAGAATAACTATAAGTAAACTTATAAGAAATAAATAATAGAACTTATTTAAAATAATAGTTATTTAGTTAGTATTATCTATAGTTACTAATTTATCTCTTAAATTAGGACTATAGATCTATTAGTCCTACTAATACACCCACATGATACTTTTCTTCCCTAAAGGGAAGTTGTAGGGCTCTCAGCCCTTAAAGTTAAGATACTATTAATTATTATAGCTATAAGTCTATTAAGAGATGCTATTCTTTAATAGATAAAAATAATTAAAAAATATAGATTTCTATCTTAATATAATTTATAAACTCTTCTTTAATATATTCAAGATACATCTTATTCTAGATAACTAGAGGAATAACTAATTCTATAATAGATTAGCTTATTTATATACTCTATAAGAACCAGACTTCTTAATTATAAATATATAAAATAATAGTATTTAAATTAGATATTTTAATAATATTAGTACAAGCCTTGGTGATCCTCGCTTCGCTCGGATTACTAAAGGGTGGGCTGGGCTGCCTTACAGGGCTGGTGGCAGGCTTGCTCGCAGGGCCGTTGACAGGGCTATTCCTTGCAGGCTTACTCGCAGGGCTGTTAGCAGGACTGTTGGCAGAGCTGTTCCTTGCAGGCTCACAGAGCCGTTGGCAGGGCTATTAGCAGGGCTGTTAGCAGAGCTGTTCCTCACAGACTTGCTCGCAGGGCTATTGGCAGGGCTGTTAGCAGAGCTGTTCCTTGTAGGCTTACTCACAGGGCTATTGGCAGGGCTGTTAGCAGGGCTGTTAGCAGGGCTGTTAGCAGAGCTGTTCCTTGCAGGCTTGCTTGTAGGGCCGTTGGCAGGGCTATTAGCAGGGCTATTCCTCGCAGACTTACTTACAGGGCTGTTAGCAGGGCTATTCCTAGACTTATTAGTAGACTTACTTATAGACTTTCTTACAGGACTATTCGCAGGGCTATTCCAGGGCTATTTGCAAGCTATTCGCAGGACTGTTCGCAGGGCTGTTTATAGGATGGTTGGCAGGGTGGTTGGCAGAGTTTCTTGCAGGCTTGCTTGCAGGGCTGTTAGCAGGGCTGTTAGCAGGGCTGTTAGCAGGGCTGTTTCTTGCAGGCTTCCTCGCAGGCTTGCTCGTAGGGCTGTTGGCAGGGCTATTCCTTATAGGTTTGCTTACAGGGCTGTTGGCAGAGCTATTCTTCATAGGCTTGCTCGCAGGGCTGTTGGCAGAGCTATTCCTTATAGACTTACTTATAGGGCCGTTGGCAGGGCTGTTAGCAGAGCTGTTCCTCACAGGCTTGCTTATAGAGCCGTTGGCAGGGCTGTTAGCAGGGCTATTCGCAAGCTATTCGCAGGACCGTTCGCAGGGCTGTTCATAGGATGGTTGGCAGGGTGATTAGCAGGGTGGTTGGCAGGGGGGTTGGCAGAATAATTAGTAGAGTAGTTTATAGAATAGTTTATATATAGATAGAGTATTAAAATCATATAATTTAGGACTAAAAGTAGAACAGCTATACTTATAGTATATATAGATAATCATAGAAGAGAAGTAGATCTATCTACTCTATTAAAAATAGTTATAAATTAGATAAAAATTCAGTAAAATTCAGAAAATAACTATTAGAGTCTAGGCTTATTTTTTCTATATAAAGATATATTTTAACTAAAGTATATTCTTTTTTTAAAGAAAAAGAATAAACTATTAGTATAGTATCTAATTCTAAAAAAAAACATATTTTTTTAGAATAACTTTCCTAAACTAGAATAGAAAATTCTAAAAATAGACCCAAAAATCCAATAAATAGTTAGATTTTTGAATTATCAGAAAGTTTTAAAAAATATTAAGAATTGATTAAGTTATTAATCTTTAAAGTCAAAATCCTAAAAATTGATATTTTTGTATGGTATATAATACTATATTTCAAAGAAATATAGCTTTAAATTAGTTAAGTCTACTAAAAAGTCTAATCTAACTTCTAAAATAAAGAAATAATATCTAGAATTCTATCTCTAGTTTAAGAAATATATATAGAACAGTAGATTAAAAGATCTTATCTTTATAGATAAAACTATAGTCTATATAGACTAGTACTATAGTATCTAGAGAATCTAATACTATAATTATAAAAAGTATAAAGTCTTATATATTTAATATTATTAGAAAAGTAAGATAGATTTTATAGTCTAAAATACTTTTTTATATAATTAAAAAGATATTTCTTTAAGCTAGCTTTTAGATTTACTAACTTAATAAGATTCTATATATATCTTTGAGTCTAAAACTACTAAAGAGAAATAGAAAGCTAAGAAGAAAATCTAGACTTTAAATAAAAAATATAAAATAATTTACTATAAATAGTAGAAGTTATATAATAGACTTAGATATATAAATCTTTATTAAGAAAGAATACTAGACTAGTAGTTTATCTAATAATTTACTAAGAAATAAGATAAACTTATCTAGTAAAAAAGAAGTAGAATTAATTAATATTAATACTAGAAGATAGAAATAATCTTCTTTATACTAATCTATATATATAGACTAATAATTTCCTTAGAAAATTCTTATTCTATATCTCTAATTTTTTATAAAGTAATATAAGATTAGCTAGTCTAATACTATAATTCTTAAGAATAGAATACTAGTCTATAAATATTATTTTATATATATATTATTCTTTATATAGAAGCTTTAAAGACTTCTTAAATAGCTAGAAAGCTTATCTAATTTAAATATAATCAAAGCTGTTTAGTTCTAGTTTAAATACTATACAATCTCTTAAGACACAGTAAGAGATAAGAAGACTATAGAATTAGTATATTAGAAGATCTAAACTAAACTATCTTAGAAATATATATAACTCTGGATTAAATACTTAATTTATTATATTAATAAGATTATTAAGTTTAATAGTAAGAATAACTATACTAAGAGCTGTTTTAATACTAATTTAAAAATATAGTAAAGTATATACTATAAGAGTAAGTTATCTAAATATTAGAATCTTAGAGAAGATTCTCTTTGATAAAAATTATGTTATTAAAATACTAGGAACTTGTTAACTATACTCTAAAAGACCAATTCCCAGCTTTATTTAATAACTATTTGGGTGTTTTATTAATTTCTTTATAGATCTATATATATTTAATATATTATATAAATTAGTATAGTAGGCCATACGCCTGCAATACATCAAGAAAATTAGCATTGTTCTATAACTTTTGGTACATGCCTCTGTAGTGTATATAACTATATGACATATGTAGAAGTATGTGGCAATGTGCTCTGTAAAATTACATACCCCATCTCCCCATAATTCCAGTGGGTCCAGGTCTTGGCACGGAGAAATTGAAGCCGTGAACCTGGGAGTGTGGAATGTGCAAGTCTGCTGAATCTCCCAAAAATTACTTGTACATTACTATGTACTTACTACACAGTATACGACTGCAAGTAGGCACGGACTACGGTGTAGTTACCGAGTACTCCGTACTTTACTATAGTTTGCCCCCCTGTGCCCCCTTGCGCCAGTCATGTACTCAAGTACAACAAATAGTAAGTCCTTAGTTACGGAGTAGTTAGTCCATAGTTGCATACTTATGCATGAATGCCAACTTCCCCTGAATTCGCTGTACTATACAGCACGTACGATAGTTCTTGACTGTTGTGTCTTTCGGTCAGTGGATGCATGAGTTTGATAGAAGATGTAGAGTTTAGGGTATATAATGTATACAGTAGCCATGCCTACTTTCGACTTCCTCTCTCCCATCTATCATCCTACTCGTTTCCCTCCTCCCTCACCCAACGAACGGACTGTGACAACATACTAATAGTTCTATCTTCTTCTCCGAGCCCCGAGGTATCTTGCTGGTTCGAGACAACCACTCTGACGTAGCTCGCTTATCATCCTGGTCTATATCGAAAGCTTGAAAGTCATTCAATGCATTTGTAATTTCCCCCTCAGTACCTCCGTTGATCAACCTTTGGTAGTGGTACTCGTCGTTTCCGTTGTTGTTCTTCTGCCTACAACTACTACTAGGACGACGGTTAGGACTACTTCTGCTGCCACATTCCTCTTTTTTTTCGCCTCTCCTTATTGTTGATCTCGTCCTGCGTCACTTATCTGATCACCACAGTGTGTTCCACTCCCTTACTCCGCATCATCCCCTCACGTTATATCGTCCCAGCGCCTCTTGACTTGTTCTTCCGCACGCTCTCTCTTCTACCTCGCTTCCTCGTACCATCGGCCCAAAATCCCAAGTCAACGCCATTGGCATCCCCTACCATGCCCGAAGGGGAGCTATGGTCTACATTAGTCACCGCCATCGATCCCGACCATATCAAAGCCATGCCCGCCGTCCTCTTGTCCACTATTGAGCTTCTGGAGACGGAACTGGCCAATGCGAGAGCAGCGCTCGAGGAACTCCAGCCCCATGCTGCTCCCATGTTTTCGCGAAGAGATGAACTCGCTCTAGGTGCGATGACTGCTTACCGCCAGAATCTCATCGGCCGTGCCCCGGATTTCTTTTACGGTACTAGCCGATTGACCTCGAAAGAATTGGGGCTTGTACCAATGGTTCACGAAGTGCTACCAGATGACGAAGAACCCTACGAAGCCGTGCAGCGCGACACCGCAAAGCTTCAACCCATATCCACCGTCCTGCATAAACCAGCCACTCTTAACGATGTTCTATCGAACAATTTAATCCTCGACCACATCGCTCCATATTTGTCCACGCCAGCCTTGTTTGCTGTGGCCTCGACCTCGCGCAATTTCAGGTCCTTGATCCTGGGCACACCTTATGTTTTCAGACATCTAGACCTAACCCAATGTCGCGGCGCCTATATCATCACTGAACTTTTTGAGAATCTCGAGAATCAAGCAACAAGAAACGTTCAACCGAGTGACGCAACCACAGCGGACGAATTTTATGCAGCACCTCTCCGAAACATTTTTGCCCATCTGGAACGGTTATCGCTTTTGCAAGACGTGCGAACTCTGGTACTAGATGGAGTATCCGTGCCGGCTGAACTGATTGCCGACATCATACTGTCAGATCGTTTCAACATCAACATACTCTCAATAAGAGGGTGCCGGCAACTGAATGAGCGGAAGCTGATGCAGGTTCTAAACTATGCGGTCAGACCTACACGGCCGAAAGGAACCCCACGTTTGAAGGGATTATACTATTTTACCCCCATAGTAGAGTCCCCGGGTATCGTACGTAGTAAGTACCGTGACTGGTGGAACTCAAGATGTTCCAGCCAAGGCTCAAGCGAGGGATCTGTGCTCGGAGAAAGTCCACTCTCGCGTGAAGAGCCGACGAAGAGTTCATGCAAGGAGGACCCCTGGTTTTATCCGTCAGGGAAGATTTTCAAGGGAAGCATAGATGATGGATGGGCAGAGACTGTGCAGAAGTGCGAGGGTATAATTGCCTTCGACGCTGTGCTCTGTCGAGGCCATCGGCACAACTTTGAGTTCCATGCCTTATCACAGACCAATGCACATTCAAACCAAGAGAGTCGACTGCTCGCGCCGGCAATTGCCACAGTTGCTCTTGGTCCCAGAGGTTGCGATGGGTGCCACACGGCACCTGAAGGCCCGGATATCTGGGGTCAATCCAACGAGGAGCGATTTCCCCTGCTTGCGCCACCTCCGCTGCATTCATCTGCAGTGACAGCAGCTAGGCGCCCCGCGCTCAATTCTCACGAACAAGCGGTGTTAATAGCTCGATGCACAGAATGTCTAACCGACCGCTGGTGCCATCGTTGCAACAAATGGTTTTGCGCCAGTTGCCTGCCACACCCAGAGCGGGTAAGAAGCAACCTCACCCCGCATCAGACGGCTGTTAGAGGTCCCAGAGGGGATGATTCGAACATGGGCAGGCCGGGCGTGAGCAAGGACTGCTGGGAATGTGGACCCACGGTGAGTGCTGCGGTCGGCGTCCAGCTAGTCCCTTCTGATGATGTGTCTAGTGCGCTCCTTGCAAGGCGAAATACCAACGGACATGCAGCTCCTGCCAAGGAGATTACTGTATTGAACACAATGAAGGGTGCTCACCAACACTGGTATGTAGAAACATCCGCTTCTTTGCCCAATGAGGGCTGACTGAGATGCTGTGTGGAAGTGCGCCTGGTGCAATACCAGCACCCGCCATAGGGTGAGAGAGTTATATTGATGGGAATTGTGGCGCGCAGAATCCGCTATCCTATCTTCAATTAGCCGACAGGATAGCAGGGTAGTTAGCTAAATAGGTATTGTAAGTGGGATGGAAAATCAGGTGCAATATCACTACTTGAGCACTTGCTTCAACCGCCTAGCTGCACACGTTCAGTTGTTTCCGTAGTCAACTGTCCATGTCCATTGAGAAAGTTCAGAAACGATGTTAGTAAAATAAAAACAGGCGAACGGGATGACAAATCTGCGACCTCTTTCCAGAAGGCGCGCGGCGTTTCGGTTCTCTTGCCTCGCTCTGCACTCTCTGCAACTGCTCGTGGCTATTCCAATTCTCAAGATGACCTGGTTATCAAGCGATTTTCACCCATCCGCAACTCCCTCCTCAGCTTCACTCTTCGCTTCGGCTGCCTTGCCCAAGATCCGAAAGTCTCCAAGTATAAGGCCTCGCTAGGACTCTCTACAATCCGCTTACCTACCGAGTACAGTACACCAGAGAGTCATCTCGGCACTATGGCTTTTGATGAAGTCTCTTTACGCTGGACAGCACAATTGATAGTCTCACCTCCGAACTTCACACCCGACCTCCCGGGAGATAAGATTACACTTCCTCAGTCTGCTCTCGAGCAACTCCTTGCCGCTGCCCCGCTTCAAGACACCGCCTCGCCCGGTTCTGCGCGTTCTCTCACCACCGCATTCGATCCCTACAATCCCTACACATTTGCGACTGAGTCGCAAGCACGCGACCGCGCCGTAGAGCGCCAACATCAACTGCCCCAACCGCTGACGTTTCGCATTGTGAATCCTCAAAATGACCGCGTGGTCTATGCGGGTATTCGAGAGTTTTCCTCGAGGGAAAATGAAATCGGTTTGAGTTACTTCTTACGATGCGCTCTCGGATTGGACATTCCCCGGTCGTCATCTACAGGAGGGGCTGCAACCTCGGCCACGTCAGAGCAATCCTCATTTGCTACGGTAACGATACACGCTCAACAGCTACCGAAGGGCACCTATGTGCGCTTGCGACCTCTTGCAGCCGGATACGACCCAGAAGACTGGAAAGCTCTGCTGGAACGCGTGCTACGCGATAATTACACCACTCTTACCGTTGGAGAGGTCTTAATCGCTGTCAGCGGTCAAGGTGAGCCGTTCCGGTTTCTGGTGGACAGGGTGGAGCCTGAGGGCCCTGGAATATGTGTTGTGGACACGGACTTGGAAGTGGACATCGTTGCTTTAACTGAGGATCAAGCAAAAGAAACATTACAGAAGCGGCTAGAAAAATCATCTCGCACTCTGGACAATAAGACGGGCACTTCTTCTGGCGGCGAACTCCATGTCAGCCGTTCAGTCACTGGCCAAGTGGCACCGGGTGGCTATGTAGATTACGAGCTTTCCAGTTGGGATCGCGGGCAAATCCTTGAAATTTGCGTGGAAGGCGTTGGCAATGCAGACATTTACGTTTTTGCCAGCCCGTTCTCCGCTCGTCAAAGGAATCGACCTAGGGCAGATGAACATGTTTTCGGTGACTTTGCAGTGCGACGCTCCAGGCGATTAAGAATTCAACCAACAAATATCGAGCTGGAAGGAACTGATGCTCTCTATATATCGGTCCATGCCTTAACTTCTAACGTCCCCCCGACGGAAGGATCTGAAACACCGGTGCCTTACAAGATACAGATCCTAGATTGCTCCACAATTGAGGAAGATAGGTCTATTTCACGAGAAGATCTGAGCAACCGTGAGCCAGCGGATGTGCAGTGTAATAACTGCCGCCAGTGGGTTCCACAGCGGACTTTGGTGCTTCACGAGAACTTTTGTCTTCGTAACAACGTGTTCTGCTCCCAGTGCCAGAACGTCTTTCAGAAGCGATCTCCCGAATGGCATGACCACTGGCACTGCCCACATGATTCATGCTATGGAAACAGTCTATCAGAAAAGCAAAAGCATAATGAGATTTTTCATACGGAGCATTCTTGTCGCGCTTGTGGATACCAGGCACCGAGCCTGCCGCGCCTTGCCCAACATCGTACGACTGTCTGTCCTTTCAAACCCATCCTCTGCCAATTCTGCCACCTTGTGGTTCCCCAACGGAGTGATTCAGATCCTGACATGGATGATCCAGAAGTCTTGGTTTCTGGTCTTACCCCGCATGAGCTGGTGGATGGAGGACGGACAACGGAATGCCACTTGTGCAACAAGATTGTTCGGATGCGAGGAATGAGGACCCACCTACGCCACCACGATTTGGAACGTCTGTCTCGACCTACGCCTCGCATTTGCTTGAATAAGAATTGCGGCAGAATCGTGGATGGTCGCGGAACGCAGAGCGCCAATCACCTGGGCCTATGCAGCATTTGCTTTGGTCCACTCTACGTGGACACTTATGACCCAGAAGGAAAGGCTCTCCGACGACGCTTCGAGCGTCGATATCTCTCCCAGATGATGTCAGGGTGTGGTAAATCCTGGTGTCAGAATGAGTATTGCAAGACGGGAAAGCTAGCCAGAAAACCTAGCGAGCCATGCAACTTGATGAGTACTGCAGCTATGCTGACTACGGCGAGGCTGCTAATTGAGGCAGTTAACATGCAAGGTGATAAACCTAATCACGCGCCCTTTTACTTATGTACCGATCAAGTAAGCCAACAACGGCGCGCGCTTGCGGAATCACTCGCCGCAGCAAGTTTTGCGGCGGAGGAGAAGTCCTGGGATTTGGCATGGTGTGTCGCTGCTGTGGAAGCTTGCGCAGGTGACCCTGAGCGATCTCGCGAGTGGCTGGAGAAATGGGCTCCGGCTCGTGGTGAGGACTCAAGTACGCTCGCGTAGGGGCTCAACTGCATCAAGCGGGATGACAAGCACATAGTTGAGTTGGGTCTTTCTCCCTTTGGCTTACTACTTAGTTGTTCTGGGGCGTTTCACCATTTTCGTGGGTGTTCTTGTTTCTGGTTAACGCTCAGGCGCACTAAATCATGAGATTATCTCTACAGCCAAGCTATGAATTTTTGACAAGGTCGAGACTGGGAAACAGTATTCTTCATAGCGGAAAACATCGATTACTTGGATAGTATGAGATCATTTGCCAATCAAGAAGAGAATCGAGCACACCGCTAATTTAGAGATGCACCGAAGGTATAGTTCAGCTAACAAAGGAAATCATGATATTCATACAACTCTCCGCGAAGCCAACTGAGCAAACCCTCTGGCTGCAACGATGCAGTCCTCTAAGTAGAGAAGCATCGCATTAGTGGCCCATGTCCTTATTGAGAAAGACAATAGCTCTGTCTCCAGCGCACATTTGTGATACTAATGACAGTATCAGGCAGCACCCGTCTTGGCAGCTAGGGTACCACTTCCGCGGGAAGAGAAAATGCCCATGATCCCAAAGACCACATAGAACAGCGCCAGCGGATACGCGACCAGACCTCTCATCCCGCGCATGCGGGCGACGGCGCAGAACATGCCCGACGAGCTGTAGGTGCACCAGCCGACAGCGGCAGTGGTGAGGAGATAACCGAACATGGTATCCATGGGAACGAGAATGCCGACCAAGCTCGTCAGCACTAACGGCAAGAAACAATAGCCAAGGACGCTGGCGGAGCGGGGAAAAGTCAGCGTGGCGGAGAAATGGCCGGCGGCCGAGGCGTCCGACATGGTAGGTTTGTGGTGCGGAGAGTAGTTGGTGGGATCTGCGGCATTGGGCACGGGAGCCGTGTCGAGCGCGGGCGACATCAAGCTGAGAATCAAATGTAGTGCCACCGTGCCAAACACCGCGACGCCGTATATATATCCATAGAAGACTTTGCCGGACAGTAGAAGGAATGTGCCGTAGAGGACAATGTAGAGCAGCGCACCGTAGAGGTCGCTATCGTCCATGAGATGCTGATCAATACGAGCAAAGGGATTCAAAACGGTCAAGGTCTAAACATGAAAACGACATTCGTCGTTTCCCACGTCAGTCAGGAAGGCACATCATCAGAACAACTTCGTTCTTCTGTCTCTTGTGGTTATGATAGCCAGTTACCTTGGTACGAATGTGTTCAAAATTGACGCCTAGCTCCTCCAGAAGCGGCGGCTCCCCGTCATATCCTTCCGTACCAAATGCGGCAAGCCATCCCGTCCGTAAACCACTCTGTTCACCCATCCTTCCGCTCACTCCTGCGGACGAAGAGCCGAAGCCACCATATCCGCCTCCCACCCCGCCGACGGGATACGCTTGAGCGGCCGGGTTAGAGGAGCCTCCGAAGCCTCCATAGGAAGCCTGAGAAGGAGTTGTGTGGCCAGACACGGACTGGTACGATGACGGGTAGAATTGGAGGTTCTGCGCAGAAGCCTGGGCTTCATAAGACTGCTGTTGCGGATAATACTGGGCCATTGCGGCCAAGGGCGGGGGAAGAAGCTTGAGAAGTTTGAATAGAAAAGTTATATTGCAAGTTGCACTCCTAGCTTGAATCGATGAGTAGGCAAGTAGATGCTTATGAGCTGCGCGAGCGAGTAAGAAGAATTGAGCTTGATGTACAAGAGAGGCGAGAAAGAACAGCTGGCTGGCGGTGATGATGGATGACGGAGCGGGGATCATGTTTAATGCCTGAGGCGCACAAACCGCAAGCTGGCCCACCTTGGTTTAGAGTCATTCTTTCCACTTATCATGATCCTAAATTTTGATACATACACTAAATAAACATGAACAAATGCTCGATTTCGGCTGACACACAGAATAAACACATCCTTGTTCTATTGAAAATGCTACATTACATCGCTTAAATCTGTTTTTACAGAAAATTGATGCCGATTCCCAATTGGAGGCCCTTGCGGCCTTCTTCGCCTTTACGCAACACTAGCGGCAGGGAGAAGTTCAACTCGAACCTAGCGACAGGATGGGCATAAACCAAACCGACACCCGCGGCAACACTGGGCAAGCCATTTGTCAACTCGGACATGGTCGAGACCATGGCATCTTTCACCTCAGCGCTGGTGGTTGGGACATTCTTACCTGCTGTTCGGAGTGGCAGCAGGCGACCACCATTCACAAACGCTTGTAGCCGGAAAGGTTTATCTGCACCAACTCGGGGGAGGGGAAGCAGTAAGTTGGCACTTCCCGCAGCATACACGTCTCCTCCAACCGCATCCGCTCCATCATGAGGTCCGAGGCCACAAAGACGGAAACCACGCACATCTGTAGGGCCTCCAAGCAAAAAACGGTCATTGACGCGAGACAACTGAGGCCGGGAGTCCAAGTCAAGTCCCAGAGGATACAAAAGTCCTGCACGGAACCCAGTTGTGAAACTGATGCCACTGTCGCCCTTGACACCTGGAACGGGAACGGGAACTGCGGCTTGTGTTTCGATCTCCGACTTCCAGAAGGAGACATCACCCTTGAGTAAACCCCAGCCAGCCAATTCATTGAAAGTCTTGGCATAGTAGCCCCGCGAGGGAAGCAACGCATTATCTCTTCGGTCCTTGGTCCAGCTATGAAAGATACTGCTCTTCACACTGTCTCCAGCGTCGGCGCGAACTGTAGAAGATGCATTCTCGGAAAGTCCGGTCATTTGTCTCCAAAAACCATTATACCCCAGTTCGTGGTGGTGACCGGACGAGCTCATCCAGCGGAGTTTGCTCCATCCTCCTTTCAGCACCTCCTCGTGGCCGGCCCATGACTTTTGTGTGGCGCTGGCAATTCCACCAAGCTCTAAGCGGAAATCCGGATCGCTAAAGAGCGGGGTGTCAAAGGTGGCCTGGTAAGCCGATCTTGTCCGAGTGCCCAGCGAAGCATTCAAATTCAGGTTCTCTGCACCCCCAAATACATTGCGCCAGAGGAGATTACCATAGGCGGATCCTTCAGTATTTCCGAGATCAGTACCCGTCTTCAGCAAGACGCGGGACTTCTCCTTGACCGACAGCAGGACATCAATGTTCGGGAGGCCGGTTTGAGAATCGACCGGCGACGACTGATCAAGGTATACTGAAATAGGCTGTTGATAGACATCTGGATTCTTAATTAGAAATGTAGCATAGAACGAAACGAGCGGAAAACCTACCAAATCTGCCCAGCTTATCCGCACGTGCCGATACTTCCTGCAAAGCTTCAGAGAGCGTATATGGCCTATTGTGATTGCTGCTAAGCAGAGAGTTGAAGATCCGCTCGAGAAAGCTTCTGCGAGTATGGCGAGCGCCGTGAATCTGCACTGAAGAAATGACACATGGTAGAGTGGAATTTTGATCAATCTGATGCCGAGAACAGCCGAGTCAGTTATCCGTTGTAGTTTGCGTGGGTAATTCGAATTCTCAAGATAGAGCGAACTCTGAGACAAATATATTCGCAGAACTGACCAGTTCACCTAAGCGAGTTTGCGCCTTCTCGTAGATGACCCTCACTCGTTCATCGATGGCCTTTTGCTGCTCTTCGTGCACTTTCGGGTCGGCGCGCTGTTGGAGACGCTCGAGGATCTAAAGCGCAAATCACGAGCACGGTTGTCAGTCCAAGGACTTTACGATAAACAGTGAAGCAATGGTAAGAGGTTGACTAACATCTCCGTCATCGATAGAAAGTGAAGAAGACATTGCTGCAGCGGCACTGACCAGAGGAGAGACCTGCTTGCTTCCTTCGCTTTCCACTTTGGCGCGGCGGCACTGTGAGGACAGACGGGGACGATCCTCCCGCGCACGTGACCCGTGACCATTTCCTGGGGAGGAGGTCGTCGACTTCGCTCCCAGTTGTCAGCGCTGCTGTTGACATTCATTCTTGTCTGTAATTCGCCTGAAACCCGCCTAATACATACCTCTCTGTCACCTCAAGGGGTTTTTTTGGCTTGTGCTGGGACTTGATTCTTACCGCGTCTCTATTTCACCGCGATTCACTTCTCGTTTTCGATAGTTTGACGTGCATCGTACTGCCGTCACTGCGAACTATAAAACATGGCGACCAAGGCAGCCTATAAGCGTGTGGGTCAAATATCCTCCTGCCCCATGCCATCTAAGTGAACTTATTTAACCTATAGCAGCTCACTCGCGAATATCAAAATATCCAGAAAAACCCACCGCCATTCATCGTCGCACATCCCTCAGAAACCAACATCCTTGAGTTCGTACCCCTCACCGAGCGACTTGAGCCGTTCAGTCTCGGATTAGTGCTAATGTTCATAGGTGGCATTACATCCTCACCGGTCCCCCGGGCACCCCTTACGAAAATGGCCAATACTGGGGAACGCTTATGTTCCCTCCTGAATATCCCTTTGCGCCACCCGCCATTCGTATGCACACTCCGAGCGGCCGGTTTCAGCCATCAACTCGCCTTTGTCTCAGCATTAGCGATTTCCACCCGAAGTCCTTCAACCCGGCTTGGGAGGTATCTACAATTTTAATCGGACTGCTCTCTTTCATGACCAGCGAAGAGATGACCACAGGAAGTGTGAGTGCTTCAGAGGCGGAACGCAGAGTGCTAGCTGCACGGTCAAGATGGTGGAATTCCACCGGTGGAGGCTCTCACATCAGTGCTACACTCGGAATTACCCCCTCTGCCAAAGGTATCAATAATGTCAAGGCTGGAGATGGGGGTTTAAAGTTTCGCACGGAGTGGCCAGAGCTTGATCACGAAAACTGGAGGTGGATGAAAGACAGCCGTATTGATACGATCACTGGCCAGCTTATGCCACATCCCAACGCTGCCACAAGATGCTCTCCAGAGACTAGTGCACTTCGCCGGCGGCCTAACGGCAGTGCTCCAGGTTTGGGTGTCGTAGTAGAAGGCGGCCACGTCGCGCGAGAAGCTGGTGAAAGCTGGGTTCGCCGAAACAAGATCTGGCTGGGGTTTGCCATTATTTTCGGCTATGCTTTGCTCACAAGGCTGATGAGTGATGTTCAAGGGTGAGTCGCTTGTATTCCTTTTGGTCTTAGAAAAGATCAACGTCGAGTCCGGTGGATGTTGCATTGAAGCCCGACACCTTTTGCCTCTTCTACCAGCCTTTTCTCAATTTTACTTTTAATGGTTCCCATTAATCTAATAGTTTGGGGAGGGGATTGCGGGTCTGTGTGATTCCATGTTTGTGTAGGGCGTTGGGAGATGGCACGGCGTTATGATCACCACTGAAGCGTTGCTTCGGGCTTTGTGAACTTTGTCTCATAATAGCTCTCTAAATAGGGACATTTGTACATACTGTGTGTACCGTGTCCACATGAGGGGACGAAGAAAAGACAGCGCTGTTCTTGGCCACAACTATGTACCTACCGGGCACAACTTTCAGTAGCTGCATTGCATATTGGCTGCCGGTAATTGGTTGCATCTGAGGCCCAACTGGAGCCATCACGTGGGCGGCGGGCGGTCGGGATTTCCTGCGGCTCTCGAATCTGATCAAGAAAAAAGTTGTTTTCTTTGCGACAACAGTATCTATTGCTGGATGACAAGCTCGAACGCTAAAGCCGTGCTTGACCTCGTTAGCTTCTTGCTTATAAGCTTTGGTTCTTGCTAGTTTTGCCATCTCCACTTATCTTCACTTCCTCACCATGGGTTGGTTTTGGGCAGATTCGCAACCCAAATCTACTGTTCCCGCGGCCTCAAACCCACTGACGGCCTCCGATGCCTCGCCTCCAGTATGTTTAATCTTGTGCCTTCGGAGAACAGGTTCAGATCTCTAATTCTCATCTCTAGCCGGGATGTCCGATGCATGCATCCAACAGTAACCCTTCCTTGCCGGCTCTAACTGCTTCTGAAGCCCCAAGTGCTTGTCCGGTTCGACCTACTGATTCTCCGTTCTATGCGCCACCCAAGCCGCAATATCCAGAGACCCAACCCTCATCATCCGTTACACCAAGCGAGCCCAAATCCACGCTTTCAAAACTGAATCCTCTGAATTACATGTTCGCGTCCATTTCTCAGGAAAGAGCTCCTAACCAGACTGTGGATCTCCCCGTGGAACGCGAAGTTTCATCCATCCCAAGATCGGACACCGAAGGCAACTGGGAATACCCCTCTCCCCAACAGATGTACAATGCCATGCTGCGCAAGGGGTATACCGATACCCCACAGGATGCCGTTGAGGCCATGGTTGCCGTCCACAACTTTTTGAACGAGGGTGCGTGGGACGAGATCGTGCGATGGGAGCGCATTTTTTCCAAGGGTCTTGCAGAAGGCTGGGAGACATGTCGACGTGGAGAAGAAAACCTGGCCATGCAAGACCTCCGAGAGCAGATTTCCGGCTCCTCTACACAGACGCCTGCGCCGCGGCTTATCAGGTTCCAGGGCAGGCCGCAGGAGCCGACGCCTAAGGCTCGGATCCTCCAGGCCCTGGGCTGGTTGTACCCAGCTAAATTCGAGTCAGTACTCTCTCAGTTTGCTACATTATTCGGACTATATCCCCATGCGTATTTCTGATTTTGCTAACACGAACACATGAGTGCAGCTCGAATCCGCCCTTCGACCGACACGATTGGTTTGTGATGCGGCAGACCCCATCGGGCCCGAAGGAGGTTCGTTATGTCATTGACTATTATTCCGGCCCACCCGAATCGAATGGGGAGCCGGTCTTTTTCCTCGATATCAGGCCCGCCTTGGACTCACCAACCGCTGCCGTTGAGCGGCTAATGAGGTGGGGAGGAGATGTTTGGTGGCGGGCTAGCGGCGGCTCGGCTCGAGAGAATGGCGAAACTTGATAAATCGGCCCTGAGCTACCCATGTTGACCCTCTTCGTTATTTTGCACTGGCATACACTTTTGGGAAGGCGCGGGCGTCTGACGGTTCCCTTTCTTGGAGGGGAGGGGATTATCCTGCTGTATCCCTGCGGCTGTTTTCTTTCATACACCCCTCTCCATGTATAATCTGTGATATGGTTCCTTGTTGTGCCATGGTTCTTTTTTATGTTTTATTGACAGTGAAGGACAGCATTCACCATGATCACATGTCCTCGGCGCAGGCATAATCCTTTTTTCTCAAATATAAATGCTGAACACTTATATCTAATTATGTAATCTGTTCTACATGTATTGTAAAGCTTGTCAAAGGTTGCTGATGAGGTGGGAGGTGGAAGCACTGCAATCTCAGTTCATCGTGGTGTATATATATTCTATTCATATTCTAGGCATTAAACTAAATTACGCAATATGTACATCAGTTCTTCGTTCTTGACTGTTGGCCTTGTAGATTCAATCCCTCTTCAAATGTTGGGAGACAGCAAGTCATACTTGACACACTGTTCAACGCTATCGATGCTGCTCTGGAGTAATTCACGCGCTTCGAGACCGACCCAAATACGCAGCATAGATACATCTCCGGACCGGACAGATTTCAAGGAAGTGACGTTCGAACCTAACTTTCGCAATATCGGCAGGGCGCTGTCGAGTGCATCAGCATGGCGGTCTTGGGCGCGTCCTACATTTGATAATTTACCTTTTGAATAGGTCGAGGTCCGGGTCCAAATTTCGACCAATACCTTCGAGGAGAAGACAGGAGATAACCACATTGACGAAATCACCCTCCATTCGGACATGATGACTTCGGACCATGGACAGCACCTCACTCAAAACATCGCCGATCTTGACGTTACCCAGTGCGAAGGTACGTGACTTCACGTTTAAGACCAGATGTTCCATTCTTAATGCAAAGTAATGAGGATCGATGACAGCTTCGGGTTGACGGCAGCGCTCAACCATGAGTTCACCCGCTCGAAAGCCGTCAAACTCGGCGATGGCACGAAACAGGTCGATGAAGTTTCTGCGGTTCATCTCATTTAATTGTGTTACAAGTCCCGTGTCGATGAAGATCAGTTGAGGTCGATATCCCTCTGCATTCAGTTGATCGAGTACTCCCTCCCATTCGCGCTTGCTGCCAGAATGAGGTCGCAGCCGGGCAAGCACGGACTCTGTGACGTCGACCTCAGCGGTGGTTGGCGCATCTGATGCACGGCCTTTGTTGCGGAGGGATAAGTCTAATTCATTTGGCTGATAAAATCTCACCATGATGTTTCCTGGGTGTAAATCAGCGTGGACAAAGTTATCAATCAATAACATGTGGAGGAATGCATCCAATCCCTCATTTGCGATCTCACGTTGGTAAACGCCCCCGCCAACGTCAAGGAAGGTCGAGAGGGGGATGCCCTGCGCAAACTCTTCCACAAGCACCTCCCGGGTCGAATAGTCTATGTATGGGTAGGGAAACCAGGCTGTCGTACGTGCCCTGAATTTCTCCCGGAACATTACCAAATTTGCCGCTTCAATCCTCAAATCCAATTGCAGCTTCATCATCTCACCGAACTGATTGACTTCGTCCGGCAAAGACAACCAGTGCATGGTAGGGATGGCATTGATCACAGAGGCAAAGAACGACATGATCTTCAAGTCTCTATGAATCACGCGCTCTACCTTGGGATGCAGCACCTTAACGGCCACGTACGACGACGGGACTCGCTGGGGGCTGCTCTTGACCAATGCTTCGACATTCTTCCGAACCTTGCCCCTCAACCCGGATAATTGGAAGTCGAAATCACTGTCGTCTGTCCCCGCAAGATTGGGCTTCAACTTCGCTTTGTAGACCTGGGCGATAGCACCTACGCCCAGAGGTTCTTCATGAAATTCCTCAAAGATATCCTCAAGCGGCAACCCATTGAAAGCCTTGCTAATGATTTTCTTGGTCTGGCGTAACGAGTGCGCAGGCGCGTTTGAGTGGAGGGAGGACATGATCTCACATAGCTCAGGAGGAAAGATGTCAGTACGCGACGCTGCCCATTGCCCAAGCTAGAGTAGATGCCACGGTTAGTAACGGTCACGAGCAGAATGCGGTTGAAAAGACGTACCTTGATAAAGGCTGCACCTGCGCGCTCCATCGAACGTACCAGAAACTTATACCACCAGATGGTCCCTGCTGGCACTCTCTCCGGCCCCTTAAGGTATCCACCAAGGCAAATAATGGGTGCCGTGAGAATAACCGGTAGGAAAATGATGACTAGATGGATGAATCGAAAACCGGTAGCTATGGGGTCGTACACAAACCGATAGCTGTATAGTATGACGGTTTGCCAGAGCCGCGTAAGACCTCTGGCATCCTCATCGACTTTCCTTTGAATCTCACGGCGCGAGACTTCGAGCATTTGCATCTCATTTGTCTTGCCGCGTTCCTCGTCTCCTTCCTCGGCAAGCTTCAAGAATGCACCAGGAGCCAGTGCGCCGAGGAGTATTGTCCGGTAATCCGGGGTACTTGCTGAAGATTTCGACATCGGCACTTGACGCCATACTGGCTGACGATTGAAGCGCGATCGAGAGAGGTGGGTAAAGCGGAACAGTAGCGGTGGGCCTCTACCACGACACACAAGGAAGCGGCCAAAGAGGACGGCCGTCCTCATGATCTCATATAGGAAGGAATCGAGTTGCGGGGAAAGCAGTCATCGAACAGCAAGACAGGGGGCCCGCGTGAGCATAACGATACGGACGGGACAGCCATCTGGGATGAGAAAAAGAAAAGAGGAAAGTCTGGGGGAAGAGGGAGGAGGATGAGCTGCGGAGGCAGCGGGGGGGCGGGCAGGCAAAGCGGCCGAGCACGTGGTGCGACGTCATCATCACCATCACTTTCAATCTTGAGAAGTACATCAAGGAATAACTATAAGTGCAACATATTCGCTATGCCTACATTGAGCTAGAACTTCCAATAGCCGCGACATCCGATTCTTGTCGAACCGTAATCCGTCACATTTGCCCTTCTCTGGACTCGGGAAAAGTCCGGCCTTGACCTGAAAGCCAAATCCGGCTGTCATGCGTTCGCTCAGCATGATTTATCAACGAAAACAGGTCTTTGCTTATGGGTACTATCCATTTAAAGGCCCACTTCATCAGGTTGTTTGATGGTATCTTACTTCAGACTCAGCGCTGTGCAATGGAGGTTTTTCAGTCAACTTAAGTATTCGATCTCATAATGGGCCGTCCCGACCACAGACATGATCCCGAGTCGCTTCGTGGCAATGCCCCCAGACGCCCCTGGTGGGTTCCCATTACAATAGGCTTAAACTTTCTCTGTCTTTGTCTGCTCAGACTTCTTATGATTTCTCGCTGCATCAATGAGCGGTCGCTCAGCTGGAACTTCCTTCCTCGGCTCGGTAAGGATAGTCCGCTCGCTCCATTCTATGCTTATTCGAAAGGCTCGGGCGATTTCAACAAACCACGGGGTTTTGATATTGTTGCCTTGGTTCCATTTCGTCGTCGGCAGAGCACGAAAATCCTGGACTGTTATCTGCGAGTGAGTAGAAGTCGCTCTTTGTCGCTTCTTGATGGCCAGAAGTCCATTTCGCTTATTTTGACGTCAGAATAACCTCGTTCCCAACCATGGTCTCGTTGATCAAGTAATCTTCCTACCGCAGACGAATGATACTGAGAGCTTGGACTGGCTCGCATCTGTAATCAAGCGGAATCCATCCTACAGGGCTGCGCATGAGGAACCGGGTTCGCAACTACACGGGTTGAAGAAGGACACACTGTACGTTTGGATCGACGGCGACATTGTGTTCCTCGAAGACCATACGATTCCAACAGTCGTAAAGACCAAGCTCGAACACCCTGATCTACCATTTATATCCGCAAACGTCATCAATGAAGCAGCGGTGGAGGTACTTCATAGCCATGCCAGCGTCTCCTTGCCTTATCTCCCCGAGCTGACCCCAGTGCAATTGTCCACTGAGCCCGATGCGCACGATTGGCGTACATCTCTGCTTCCAACTTGGAAGGGGCCTGATGATTTTATGGTCAATGCGGAGTTTTTTCCACCATTCAAGAATCACCGATGGCTCCTTGCAGGTGACTACAACTATAGTCGCACTCCTATCAGTATGTCCAAGCACGCTACGAATGGGCCCAGTATGCTTCACTGGACTGTCAAAGCTCAGCAGCATTACTCGTTTTTGCACCACCTAGAGCTAAATCACCTCAATCGCTATAAATTCCCGACTTGGGGTGTACCATCAACAAATGTCAGCCCTTACTTCCTATGTTTCTGGGGGGACGTCAAAGTGGGCCGGTTTTCAGCCCAGGTGGATGACATGGCATTTTCTGGGCCATTTGCGGGGGCTTCAGGCGTCGAAAATAGCATAATAGATGGGAAAGGATTGGCTGTGCACTACTCAAGCAGCTGGAGCTCGGAGGGTCTCGATTCTACTGATCTACTCAGGCGATACCAGTGGTTTGCAGAGGAGGCTGTTTGCAAAAGCATATAAGCTCTTTTGACTAAAATCTATATGTATGGATAGCATCATGGGCGTTTACTATTTGATTATCACCCGCAAATTGAATTACATATCTGTTATCGATAGAAATCAATAAGCTCGAGTATTAATTATCCGGCTATATATGTGAGCTTGAGGTTCCCGATCGGCAGAAGCCTAAGTATGTTTAGCTGGTAAGTTGAAGGTACCTCGAAGCATATGTGTTCATCAGGCTTTGGAGAGTAGTCCTTGTGGAGTCAGGAAGAATGTCCTGTCACAAAAATTATAAGTATGCCTCATACGCAGGGACAAGCTTCTGGCTGACTCACATCACTCTTCAGTAACTCTTGCATAAGCACGATGATGTTGCCGCGATCCTTGTTGATTTGCTGGGTTTCTGATTCGGTGGAATCTGTAAGATCTGTAGCAAGCACTTCCTCGAGCACCGGCAGAATGCACATCTTCTCTATACATTTCGTGGCTGCAGTCAAACCCTCTGGCATCGAAGCCATCAGAGCAAGAGTGAACCAGCCTTCGCTCCGCACCACAGGCCACTGCGACTGAGTAATCATGGCACCCACTGGTAAAGGTATATCGACGTGTAGATTAAAGGCTTTCCTGAGTAGACTCTCGGCCTGACTATCCTTCTCGCGCACCATGGGGACCAAGGTACGGCATATAGAAGCCACGATGCGTCCGATCTCCGTTCTGATGGGAGCCGAGTCTGTCTTTGCGAACAGTGCGAGGAGCAATGAGAGATATGTTCTCTGTTCACCCTTGATGTCCTTCTCGCCTACAGGAATATCATCAAGCAAGCAAGCGATATTCCCCACTGAGGAGATGATCACTTGTCGTGTAATGCTCGTTGCGATGAATTGAACTTGGGGAACGGCTTCGTACTGCCAGAGACTTGAGACGGCAGGAATCAGGCCTGCCTCTCCGAGCCGGATTTTATTGTTGCCAGCAATGGCCAGGTTCTTCAAGAACCCGAGTGCGGAGTGAAGGACTGCGCCCCTGATTTCGCTTCGCAGGAGCGACATGAGCGCGGTGTGGATGTTCAGCTTTTCGACCATCTCTTCACAGACTGCATCCGATCGTGCGAGATTGCCAAGCACTACGCACGAGCAAATCTGAAGTTGGTCTTCCGTTGCCGTCAGCCAGGATTCCAGCAAGCGCACAAGAGGGGATTTGAGAGGGTATAGCTCTGCAAACAAGGGCAATGCAGAGACTTCAGCCAATGTTTGATTTATCTTCAGCCGGGCCTGCGCCAAGGCATGCATGTCCTCTTTGGAACATTCCTCGTCTTTGAATGACAGTGACCGTTTGAGCACCAATAATAGCCGCGGCATACAGTCATTAGACAGACACGTGGCTTGGAAGCGTGCATTGTCCAGGTATATTCCAAGACAGGTGACGAGAGACGCGTAGTGTACTGGAGAACGAACAGTCTGTGGATCATTCAGTAGGTCCAGAAGAAGAAACACTGTCGCATCGGGAGAGGAGGAGATCCCTGGCTCTGCAAGAGAACTGTTAGTTTGGTGGAGCACAAGGATTTGTTCGTCAAGCATGCCTTGTTCCCCAACCAAGTCAACCAGCTCGTAGATATAGTCGAGCAGAGCCTGATGCCTTGCAAAAGCATTGTCTTTCAACAGTCTCAGGAAGATATAGACAATCTTGTTAGACGCTATTTGAGACTGGGCAGGTTCTGTGTTCCGTCAGCCTTGGATAATGTTCACTTTGGTAAGACTTGAAACGGTAAGTACCGAAATCAATGCATATATTATACAGAACAGGAATAGCGACCTGAATTAGCTTTTCGTTGTTCAGGTGTCGTATGATAGCGGCAGTGTAGTTGTTTCTGACTAGAATCTTCCTATTTTCATCTACCTGGTCGTCAGTGCTAGGCTGCGTTATGTCACGAAGATAATGATTGTGTGACTTACTCGTATCAGCACAGGAGTTGCCGATTAGCCGCAGTGAATGGAGGAGAAGGTCATCATCAATGCCCTCCTCTGATGCTACAAGCCAGAGAAAAAAGTCTAGTATACCAGCCTGTCCATACAAGATGCGCCAAGGTGCTGTCGATGAGTTAGAATTCCCCTGAGAGGGCTATCACGGACGGCTGCCTTACCATTCCTACTTCCATTAGCCAATGCCTCAGTGGCTGGCAGCAGGTACTGCGATCTGCACTTCCACAATTTATAGAGTATCTTTTCAGCATCCATAAACGCTTCAATGCTGCATTGGTCCTCAGTGTTTCTCAGCGACTCTTGTAGGGAACTTAATAACAATTTTTGTCCTTCCACTGACACGAGCTCGGACTCTTCCAACCCAAGTGCCATAGGCGGGACATGGACAGTCAATGCTGAGAATATTTGGACTAAATCAGGGTAATCCAGCCCCTTGGATAGCATTTGATCGGTCAATGGCCCCGAAGAGTCGAAAGCCATATTATCACCATTTTGGACGTCCGATACACTCTGCGGGACGCTCATCCTTCAACCCACGTTTCGTCGAATATCAGTTCAAACCGTGTGTTCTGGATAGGCAGACGGACATCAAAAAGGGGTCGTTTTCTGGCCCAGTCACTTATTTACATCAGAAGCCAAATCTTCCGTGCGCTCGACGATATTGTTGGGAAAGTTCTTGAGAGACACCCTGGGTTCCCGCTGAAAGATGGAGGGTGTGCTGAAGCTCCTTCGTGAGGAGCAGTATCAGGAGAGACACATGAAGCTTTATCTATTTCTTCAGGCACCAACTCAATATTACCTTGGCTTCGGTGGGCCAGCGCGTATTTGCAGTATGTGAGACAAACCCCATGACTTAATATTCTTCTTTCGATCGACAATCTCTTGTCTCAATTGCATTCTAGACACTCGCGATTATTCTCTCTGGTATTTCGTATTCAAGAGTCACACGTTAGATCCCAAAATGAGTATGCAGTGGTGGTCTCGACGGGAAAAATACGTCCAGTACAGCTCATATTGCAAAGTTGTACTCCTTACGGAGTACAGTTTCTGACCAAATGCCAATCTGTCATGACGGGCAGTACGGGAGACCTCGCGGCTAAGGGGCGCAAGCTGGTCTCGTTCGTTGCAGCGCGTGCCGCCAATGAATGTCCCGCAAAAGAAGCCAGCCAGACGAGACACCAGCCAGACAAGACACCAGCCAGACAAGACACCAGCCAGACAAGACACCAGCCAGCCAGCACTGCAGTGTCCCCTTAATTCTAGTCACTCATTTCCCAGTACATTTCAAGCACTCCTTTATCGATAGCCTTTGGGTCCGCGGTCACTGTGACACAACCTGACTCTCAACTCTTCACTTGCCATATCTCCCCTACAGTAAAGCCCCAACAGGCCAGGCAGATTCATTATGACGCGTGCTCAGCAGACACTCTCCGTTCTTCTGCTCGTCTCCTCGGTATGCTGAACAATCTCGTTCTCCTCTCCACCCTACTTTGATTGCTAACGCGGATCTGGGATACAGCTCTACCTTTCCCTTTATCTGGGCCTCGTTCCTCTTAACGATACCATTCATGATGAGATCATCCCTGTCGTACGTTCAGAAAATGGCTATCCAGTCCTGGTCTTATCTCCACCCTGCCATTTCACTCCACTAACCATCTGCGCCTGTTCTTAACAGCTTCCCTTCTATGCTCTGATCTGCTTTGGATGCTACCTCCTCGGCCGCCTGGGCTTGGCGATTCTCACCTTCAACGACGTCCCAGAGGCACACACGGAGCTGCAAAAGGAAATCGAACAGGCCAAGGCCGAATTGCGCAAAGCAAATATTGATGTTGACTGAAGTAATCAGCGCGGACGGACGATTGGACCATTTCAAATCTCAACAAATGTATTTTATTGGCGAAAATGTGACCATTATATCTTAACCCAGCGTCACTTCTTATTCAAGAGATAAAGCCGTTGTATCTCGCGCATATCCAAGCATTGGATGCTCCGAAGGCGACGAATCGATGTCAATGGTATTACTTCAAACTTCTTGTGACTGAGAGAATGATCTAGTGGAAGAGGTCTAGAATCTTCTCGATATTCGTATGATATAGTAGTAGCCGGCGTCTGCCATCTAAGCTATGCGTGGTCCTATGAACTGTCTAGACCATCTACCAGATGGGCCAAATGTAATAGCCCCGGAGCAACCGATTCCATCTTGTCATCTCAAATCGAGGCCAAGCAGTATGCGGAGACGAAATACTCTTCCCCGGTCTGTTGTGGTGAGTCCCGCAGACGTAGCATGGTAATCATAGACGTCTTTGACGTTGTCTAATCCCACTGGAAGGACACTATAGTTCAGTCGCACGGTGGCTGAAGACATCTGCATCGAGTAATGAGTCACAGTGGTTTGGCATGCGAAGCCAGACGAATTGATCTTCAGTGGTCTCCTGCTTTTGTTCTATAAAGATCCATCAAATAATCACCACCCAACCATTTCCAAGGTCGAAATAAGCCTATAATGAGTCCTGTAGAGCGAAGCAATGTATATGCAAGCAAATGAATCAATATGCAAGAATGGCAAGCCCAGGGTATCGGGCGTCGAAAGAAAGGCTGAGGTGACTACAGGTAGTCACGGATGAGATATTTTAGAAAAGAGGGTTCTCCTTGGCCAACCGGTCGTGCTCGTCAATGTCCCTGTTGAGATGTATCAACGACGGCTTCAAAATGCATGCAAAAGAATAGATCCCGGAAGGACGACTTACTTGGCCTCCCAAGGATAGCAGATCCACACATCATCAGTAGTGACCGCAGCATGATAGCGACCAGAGTCCATCATGTCAGCTGGCAAGACACCCTTCTTCGACTTGTTCTTATTCTATAGATCAAATTCAGGTTACTCAAAAGCTCTTCTCACCAGTCACGGACACACAGGGAACGGCACTTACGTGAAGCACGAAAATAGAGAAATTTGTCTTCTCGCCCTCCCGCCCAAGTTGCTTCTGTGCGTCCTCAACATCCTTCTGCAGTTCGCGCACGGCGTATTCAAGGGTTGTGCGGGTGTCGTCGACCTCATCAACAATAAGGATGTTCTTGCCAATCAGGTTCGACATCTCGAGGGAGCTAAGGTCGAGCCACTGTGTCCGAGTGACCTTGGTACCAGGGACTTCCTCCGAATCGCCGCGGCCGAGGTCCTCATAGAGCGACAGGCCGATAGCTTGAATGGGAATGTTGGGCTCACCAGAGCGCTTCAGGAACGACCTAGGCGCGATAACAATCAGGACAAGCAGCTTCAACTATCGCTCGAAATGATTTAGCACAAACCGGAGAATCCGCGCGGGGACATAACCACCACCACCGATGGCAATCATCAGATTAGGGCGGATAGTGCTCAAAATCTTGTCGGCAGAGTCCTGGCATAGCTTGTGGACCTGTCATGTTCCAGCGGAGATTAATAAAATGATCAATGTAAAGCACCACATGATTGAGATGGCGAGGCAATGCACGCATGCGACTAGTGATAAACACCTGGAGAGCATTGCACTGCACGAAAGAGGTCAAACTATCGCTTGTCCTATACAAAGCAAGCATACCTGGTTGTAGGTGACGTAGTATTTTTGCGTCATTTTAGCGACAGTGAGGGGATTATGAACACAGGTTAGTGCGACAGTAAACGGGTGGAAGGTTGAATTTGCTAAGTTGAAGCTTTGACTGGGCACGATGGCGGGAGAGTAGAGGGGAAAATTTTTGGGAAAAATGATCGTGCCACAAAGATAAGACAAGCAATGAGGGGTAGGGTAAATTTAGGGGCAGAACAAAAAGGGAAAAGAAAACCGAGAGATGAAATAAAACGAAAATGAAATTTTCCTTCTTTCTTCCCCCTCTTCTCATTTGTATTCTTACTCAATGACGCACTAGGGCAATCAAGATTCAAGACTGCAACAGAGCCACAGGTTAGAGATGAGCAACTGAGAATACTGATAGTACTAGTTAAGGTTGGCCGCCAACAGGTCCGCATAAAAGTCGAGAAAGCCTATCAGCGTGCAGTTTCGGTCTCTAAATCCCCCATTTGCCCCGCAAGATCGCTTCTACAGACGGAGTCCGGAGACCTCCGCCACCATTAACGTATGTGTGTTGATGTGTGTTAATCTATCACCTTAACATGCATGCATACATGTACGTTCGCGGCAATTTACAAAAGAATTTCGATCCCGAAATGGTCTTGATTGGTTTGTACAGCTCGCGAAAAAAGGGTCTATTCATCAAGATCTTTTCAGGTAATTAAGAAGGATTACCCTGGTTTGATGGTCTGTGCTGTTCTATGGACGCCCTTTTCCTCTTTGTCCATAGCAGATACGGCTCTTAGTGCCATACCATGATAGTCAACAGCTTATGCTATCTTAGTCAACTTTAACAACCTCTTCTTTCCTGCTAGTCTACCCAGTCTATCTTGGCTAGGACCGGACTGAATCTGGAACGCATTACTCTGGGAACCTCACCTGATTGGACCCCAATTCGTCGGGTACCAGATATGAAGCAGTACCTACTACAGATCCATGATCGCGGGGCAAATCATTGAGACCTGAGTCGCCGCACGATTTGTAAACCCGTCAGGAAGCCTATGTGTCAAAGTATGAAATGGAGTTGTAATTCAGTCTGGCGAAGACTGTGAAATTAATAGGTGTACAGAGTATAGAATATTGATATGATTCTACACAGAGCACTGGCGGGGTCTGGGATGACATTTGCCTTTATGGATGTGGCTTAGTACCGTTTGTTCCATTCCCGAAATGTATTCGCCAAATGCATATCCTATATTTATATTCGATTTTATCTAACTATGAACTTCACTATCGTCAAAAGATACTATGGCTCTATGCTGGCATGCACGGGCACCTGATGCAACTGGTAGGTACGGCACAAATAAATGTCTAGTTACCTACGGTTTTAAGTCTAGCTTCCAATTTGTTGCTATTGCATGCACGAGAAGGGAGTCTTGGCAAACTCATACCCTGCAAGCTCATGTCAGGTGTAAATGCCGAGGCCCATGTGTCCCCCCATCCGCGTTTTCAACACCAAGGGACTGCAGCTGGTGTAGACAGCACCTTTTTAGTGTCTTTTAGGGGCTGCTTAGAGCATAACAAGAATACTCTCCACAATGGCTGGTATTGATGATACGCGACTGTCGGTGCTGATTACAGGGTATGCTTCATAATGTCTCCTTGATGTGTTTATATAGAACGTTCCTGACTAGGACGATGCACAGTTGCTCGCCCGGTGGTATAGGGAACTCTTTGGCCCGGGAATTTCATAGAACTGGCCTGCGCGTGTTAGCCACAGCAAGAGATGCGGACACCCTTCAGGATCTGACGTCTGTCGGAATTGAGACGCTGAGCCTCGTTGTGGATGACCAAGAAAGCGTACAGCGTTGCTTCTCAGAGGTCAATGCTCGACTGGGAGACAAGGGCCTCAATTACCTTGTGAACAACGCGTGAGAAATCATCACCCTAGGCTGAGTCTACACGCTAACACACTAATAGAGGCCGCAGTAAGTCCTAGCCGCCGATGAACGTACGTTGATCTGGCTGGAATTGACCTGAATCGTCCAGATTACACGGTTCCAGCGATGGAAGCTGAACTCTCAGAGATCCGCACGACGTTCGAAACCAATCTGTTTTCAGTCATCTACATATGCCAAATTTTTTTACCTCTTCTCATCAGAGCCAAGGGAACAATTGTACAAGTCGGAAGTGTTGCCGGGGTAAGGGTCAATGGCCACGGAGCAAGGACGGCATGAAATGGGTCCAGGACAGTGCTGATCATGAGCCAGATAATTCCATACGTCTTTGGGTCAGTCTACAATGCCTCAAAGGCTGCTTTGCATTCTTTCAGTGACACTTTACGAGTAGAACTGGCTCCTTTCGGGTACGTGCCTGCTTTCTTCTTGCCTACAAAAGGTAGCTTCTGAATTTCCCAGTGTCAACGTCACCACAATTGTCACAGGTGGTGTGCAATCCCGCATCGCTCGAACCAAACGTACGCTCACTCCCAACTCAATGTATCTCCCAATTGAAGAGGAGTACAATCGGCGTGTGGTTCACAGTCAAAATGGAGCCATGCCAACTGCCGACTATGCACGGAGCGTTGTCTCGCAGATCCTCTATGGGCCAGCCCTATGGCGTTGGGTCTGGCCGTGGGCGCGAGGCCGTCAGAGTTGGATCTGGGAAGGTAACAAGAGCTGGATTATTTGGCTTCTGAGTGGTGGATGGGCTTGGACCGGCTTCTTCGAAGTTATTGTATCGAGAATGTTCAAGCTTTACAGGCTTCATAAGGTGGAAGATGGAAAAAAAAGCGTGTGAGACATCCATAGCCTGGAGAATTCTCACGGTGCTCTCAGCTGCTCGGAATCTCTGTGCCTTACTCATGCCGAAACGTACGCTGGTTGGCCCGTCAGGTGATCTCTCCGAATGCTACCGCCCGTAACGTCCGAAGGACATAATATCATCCCGAGATTCGTAGCCGCGAAAAAGAAAGCTGTTCTCCCATCAGCACTCAACTTCCTCTTTTCCTTATCACCATACCTCATTTGGAGGATTTTTTTTTTCTTTCATCTCTCGCAAATCTCGCCTTCTTGACGAGCATCCCTGATCCCTCTCCCCTCCCAGTAATTTTTCTTCCATTACGGCGTCAAAATGTTCAAGCTTGCCCGCAGCAGACCGATTACCACGGCCTTGAGAGCTGCAACGGTACGAATTCCTTGACTGGCCTTGCCTACAGAATGCTAGATTGTTCATGTCCGACAATTCATGCCGCTTGCTAATTTCTGAATAATTACAGAAGCCCTCTGTCCAGTCCCGTCTGGGCCAGCAGCAGAGAAACCTCTCCATCCACGAGTACCTGTCCGCAAACTTGCTCAAGTCGGTATGGCAGACCCGCGTTATTCACTTCCTTGTTCTGGCTCTTTGAGATGCTGACAATCCGGTAGTATGGCGTTGGAATGCCTAAGGGTGAAGTCGCTCGCTCCGCGGAGGAAGCCGAGGCCGTTGCCAAGTCCCTCGGTGCGTTCTTACATGCTTACAATATGAGTCGCTGTTTGCTAAGGCCATGGTAATAGGTAACGACGATATGGTCATCAAGGCCCAGGTACTCGCTGGTGGCCGTGGTAAGGGTACTTTCACCAACGGTCTGAAGGGTGGTGTGCGCGTGATTTACTCGTGAGTGTGGTCGGTAGCGCCAGGATTTGCCTTCACCTCTAACAACATGAATCTTTTCCTTACAGGCCTACCGAGGCAAAGATGTTCGCTGGTCAGATGATCGGAGAAAAGCTTATCACCAAGCAGACAGGTGCTGCTGGTCGTGTTTGCAACTCTGTCTACATCTGTGAGCGCAAGTTCGCTCGTCGCGAGTTCTACCTCGCCGTTCTCATGGACCGTGCTACCCAGGGTCCTGTCATTGTCGCCTCTTCTCAGGGTGGTATGGACATCGAAGCTGTTGCCAAGGAGAACCCTGACGCCATTCTCACTACTCCTATCGACATCAAGGTTGGAGTTACCGACGAGATCGCTACAAAGATCGCTACCGAGCTTGGCTTCTCTGAGCAGTGCATTGACGAGGCCCGCGACACTATTCAGAAGCTGTACAGGGTCTTCATGGAGAGAGATGCTACCCAGATCGAGATTAACCCTCTTTCTGAGACCTCTGACCACAAGGTCATGGCCATGGATGCCAAGCTTAACTTCGACGACAACGCCGAATTCAGACAGAAGGAGGTCTTCGAGTGGAGAGACACCACCCAGGAGGATGCCGATGAGGTCAAGGCTGCTACGTATATTCACCATATGAAACACTTTTATTTCGTTAGAGGAGCATTCTAACTTCGGACGCAGGCACGGCTTGAACTTTATCAAGCTTGACGGTGATATTGGATGTTTGGGTAAGAACAGCTAAAAGGATTCTTGCTGATATTTCTTCTGCTAACTTCAAGTGTAGTTAACGGTGCCGGTCTGGCCATGGCCACCATGGACATTATCAAGCTCAACGGCGGTAACCCCGCTAACTTCCTCGATGTCGGTGGTGGTGCCACCCCCGCTGCCATCAAGTCCGCTTTTGAGCTTATCACGAGCGACCCTAAGGTGACTGCCATCTTTGTCAACATCTTCGGTGGTATTGTCCGTTGCGATGCTATCGCTCAGGGCTTGATCAACGTCGTGCAGGAGATGGGTCTGCGTACCCCCATTGTTGCCCGTCTCCAGGGTACCAACATGGAGCAGGCGCACAAGCTGGTATGCCATCCCATACTCACCTGTCATTTTTTATACATTTCGAATACCAAACTAACAATATTTCCTGTGTAGATCAATGATTCTGGCCTCAAAATCTTCTCCATTGAGGATCTTCAGAGTGCTGCTGAGAAGTCGGTTCAGTTCTCCAAGGTCGTCAAGCTGGCCCGGGAGATTGACGTTGGTGTTGAGTTCACTCTTGGTATCTAAATTCCATGTTGACATAAAGCTGCGTCTCCTTAGCTGATGCTCCCACTATCTCTTGTTTTTCTCTTCTTTCCTTCTGCTAATTTTTCTTTCTTGATATTTACATTCTTCTTTCCGGTGACCGGGAGGACAGCATGATCCGAGCTCGAAAATGTAGCGAGATGCGGAGTAATCGGCCGAGGAGGGCGATTGCCTTTCTTTCCTAGGGTATGATGCTAACGCGCTGCTGCTGCTTAGAGAATGTTCGGTCATAGGGAATGCGCACGAGTTAAAACATAATGGTGATACACGAGATGGGTATCGGTGAGACCGCCTGGGAAGTTCTTATAGATGGTTCTGTATATTGTCCATGTCTAGGTTTATTTCTTTTGTCTATGTCTTCGTTAGAATAGGTTAGAATATCTCCGCCATTAACGGATGACTCTTCTCCCGCTATAGTCAGCTCATTGCCCCCAGGTTTCGACTAGGCACCATTAGGTCTTGAGGACCGGCCGCAAAGTCAGCTTTCTTGACCGAGGGATCATCGTCAAAGAACCAGACTTGTATCCCTGTCTGGTGGGCCAAGAGCACAAACTCACGATCTCCAAGAAGAAATCCTCCTGCTTCCTGGTAGCTCGCGAACATCGCTCGAGTTGCTCGATGGGGTGGTTGGGCTGATAAGTCGGAGATCCAAAGGGCTGGGCTGCCGTGATCTTCTCTGAGGTAGTACAACAGATTGCGGTCCACAACCGCCGCACGTAAGAAGTGATAGGGCTTATCGTTCCAATTAAATTTATGCAGAGCAACCTCATCCATCTGCGGGTCGTAAGCTGCTATCACCCACTGAAAAGATCGTGTGGCGGTCCCATCTAGTGGTGATTGAACGAAGAACACCGCGAACCGATGATGAGATTTGTCCCACGACCGGCTTAGCGTCTCGAAGGACCAGTCCCGAGGAATCTTAAGTGATGCATAGGAGCGCTGGGTGTACGCTTGTCCTTGGCCGTCCATGGAGTATTTCCTTACGCACACCTGATACGTCTCCTGCCGTTCGACATGAACAATAATGAGGGACTTCTTGGCGGGATACAAATCTAAAAGTGCCACCTGGGGAACATTCTCTATGGTGTGAGCGGCGCGCGACCGCATATCCCAGTAGACAACGGAGTCTCTGTCAATTCTTTCCCCAGACTCTGTGAGCGTAGAACCGCGGTAGGCCACCGCAACTGTGATGTCGCGGACGGCAAAGCCGGTCACGTTGGAGGATGGGATACGGAACCAGGCGTGTTCCTCTGCCCCCAAACTCCAAACATGACAGTACCTGAGAAAATATTAAGTTTATATGAGCGCTTGCCACGTACCACATCCCAAGGAACCTTCCACTTTGTTCGTCCTAGGCGAATTATAGGGATAGCTGGGATGCAAAAAGACTTACGCACGGGTGCTAATTGCTACCACCACAGAACTCGAAATGCCCACCAGCTGAAAGCGATCGCGATTTTCTGTGCAGAGCTGCTGCCTGGTCGAATTGCGAATGTTGTCAATGACAAGGACGTCGGGCTGCCTGAGCCAGGCATACCGTCCGTGGGCGTAGGCGAGGGTGGCGGGCGAGGGAATGTCATAGGAATTAAAGTCGGCTCGACCTCCTCCTAACGTCCGATGGTGAAGCACGATAGATCGGGGCTCGTAGGCGGCGGGCTGACCGCGCTCTAAGCGGATTCTCCGTTGGGCGTAGCGCGTGAAGTCGGCTGCTCTAAGATGGGCACTGGACTCGTTCGTCCACAAGCGGTATAAGGTGCGCCGAGTGGAATCCGATGATAGGAGAGAGTGCCACCGTCTCGAGACCTGGGGGTACGAGCTACATCAGTTGCGGTCGATTAATACACTCTGCTCTATTATGGTAGTCACCTACTCTCTGGAGCACGTAAAGGTCGGAGACGCTCAAATACTGCACAATCTGGAGGATGATCTCAGGAAGGGACTCGCCCAGGATGTCCTTCTGGAAGGTCCGTTGTTTGATGTGCGTGCGTACGTCGCCCCATTCGGGTGAATTCAGTTCGTCTAGGATACCCCAATACCTGCGACTTGGAAGTTAGCACCGGCAGGAAACGAGTGTAATGAAAGGGGCGAGCTTAGAGACGAGATGAGATAGCTCTTACGCAGCTCTTCGAGCGGACTGTGTACTCAGGCTATTGAAAAGGGCGATGATCTGCTGGACGGTAGCATTATCGATAGCTGTAGGATGCAGACTCATAACTGTATTCAAACAACAACCCCGGGGGATGAAAGTCACCAAAGGTCCACAATAAGGGAGCTGTGGTACAGTGGGGAAAAAGAACAAAAGAAGTCAAAAAGTATCGCAGTGAATATTTGTGGCGTTATTGGGGAGAGGGTTGCAGGAAACTGAGAATGCGAGGAGGGAGAATGAAGGAGGGAGCTGTCGCTTGGACTATTGTAGAATAAGTTTGATTATTGACAGGCCAGTATATTTCCAGCCATTGATAAATCGTATATGGAGTACCTGTGTTAGGCTGCCTGCTAGCCTAGGAGTGGGATAAGTCTTCTTCTTCTTATTTCTTTTTGAACTCAAATAATAAATAAATTATCGGACCATGATTGATGATAGAACTGCTTTTGCTTGTTCTCCTTCTCTCCTTTCAATGGTCATCATTATTTTTATTTGTGATTGAATGATTGATTGATTTGTTTGTTTCCTTTTCTCCCTGCGGATCCTCCCGCTTGCCAGTGGGAACTAATGGATGATGAGTATACTGTCTGTACTCCTCCTCCGTACAATACCTAGTATGTGTAGAGTACTCCATACTCTGTCAGAATAAAGTACCTACAGATTTACATTACTCAAGTTAGAACCACTATCAGTCACGCTCGTCCCGACAAAATAAGCAGTCTGCGCTGCAGATCTGATCGCCTTCTGGCCCCCTTCCACAACGCCTCGTCCCAGATCGTATTCAGGGACTACGATCACGCAGGCCAACAACTTCCCTGTTTCTGATGGCGAAATAAAACCCTCCTCTTTCTGGATCTCCTCCTCCGCACTTTTGTATAAAGAAAGTCTTGTCATCTCACAAGGGTCTCAGAAGAAAGAGAGAGAGGGAGAGGGGAGATGAAGAGAAGGTAGGATGTCGAATAGGAAACGGAAGACACACGAGTTAAAGCTAGACTGTCCTTTCTTGTTCGTCTCTGTCGGCCAGAAGCTGTCCACAAATTGTCTGTCAACCATCCACGGGGGTCTTGCTGAGTCTCCACTGAAGCAGCCATGCGAGACGCATCCATCCAACAGGCCGACCTGAACAAGCCTCAATGACAATTTTCAGAAATCCGGAAAACGATGAAATAAATAAGGGCAAGCAAAGCTGGGGCCGACCAATTGAACGAGCGAGGCAGGATGATCGAGGCAGCGGAGCTTGAAGAGATAATTGTTGGTTGGTTCGAAGAAGGATTGATCCTCAGTTCCAGTCCGTTCGGCCCAGACCCTCTTTTCTTATGGCCCTTTGCGCATGTCTCTATCTTGTCTGTCCGTCCGTCTGTCTGTCTGTCTGTCTCTCACGGTCAGTCTCTCGGTCTGTGTCGCTCTTGTCTCCCTCCGTCTTAAATATAACTCTTTCGTTGGACTCGTAAACTCTCATCAATTTAAATCATCGATTTCCCTTATGACGATTGAGTTCAATCTTCCTTTCTCCTTTCCTTCTCTCCTTTGGCAATTCTTCCTTTCCCTTTCTCCTTCTATTATTTCTGCTATTGTTCCTATCCTCCTCCTATCGCCCTCTCTGCCTTTTTTTCACCTTAAACCCGCCCGCCCCACAGGGCAACCTCGACTTCTTCCTTTTTTTCTTCCTGCTCTCAATTACATGGTTCGACACAAATTAAGAAAACCGTCAAGACGGCAAAATAAAATATAAAAGGCACACCGTTCTTATCGATTAGACTGGAAGGAAGGAAGACTGGGTTACGACGAAGAGAGCAGCATTGAATCTTGCTGGATTTCTCTCTCTCCCTCTCTCTCTTCCTCTTCCTGTCGGTCTATCTCTCGGCCGCCCGTCCTTCGTTTCCACCTCCCCTCCACCTCCGCCGCAGCCATCTCTTCTTCGCTCTTCTCTTTTCCCCTAGTTCTCCTCCGCCGCGAGATGAGCAGCCTAGCCGATCTCCCTTCCAGGAATTCTCTTCTCGCTGCTCCTTCCGCTATCGCTGCCACCGATGCCCCGGGTAAAGTCCGAAAGATCCCTGTCCTCTCCTCCTCCGTCGTCCCAACATCCTCTCAGTCGAACGGTGATCCCATGGATGTCACACCTCCAGCCCCGGGCCCTGCGCCCCCCGTCCAGAGCAGCCCTGATAGCGATCGAACGGGCACAACCCCCAGCATCACCACCACGATCGCTCCTAATAGTTCAACCGACTCGCAGGGTGTGAATCACCATCACCTAGGGCCCAACCAGGCAATCGGGGCCGCCGCCGCCGCGCAACAGCCCAAAGTCGTTCAAACGGCCTTCATCCACAAGCTATACAAGTACGTCAGCAGCAGGGTCTATTAGTCCTTAAATGAGTCGGAGATGCTCTTTCATTTTATGGGTCCACGCACTAACGATCTGATAAATAGTATGCTCGAAGATCCCGCCATCCAGCACCTAATATCATGGTCCAACACCAATGATAGTTTTGTCATGTCTCCCACCTCTGAGTTTTCCAAAGTTCTCGCGTTAGTTCCCCAGCGCTAACGGACCTGATCGATTCTTCAAGGGCGATATGGAGCTAACAGCCCTCTCAGCCAGTACTTCAAACACACCAACATTTCCTCATTCGTTCGGCAGTTGAATATGTACGGGTTCCACAAAGGTATGCTAGTTCGAAATGACGATGGATGCATGCATTGTTATTGACGCGAATGGGAATCAGTGAGCGACGTTTTTCATACTGGGTCTCCGGACTCCGCCCTCTGGGAATTCAAGCACGGGAATGGAAACTTCAAGCGGGGCGACCTTGTCGGTTTGCGCGAAATTAAGCGACGCGCATCCCGCCACGCGTTAATCCATCGCGATTCATTTCCAGGCCACAAGGCTACCTCGCAACCGGGTACTCCAGCCGAACCTATTCCGGATGCCACTGAAGCACGTCTGATGAACCTGGAGCACTCAATGTTCGACATGCATGCTCGTCTCACACGCGCCGAAGAAGGGAATGCAGCGCTCAATGCGCGATGCCAGGCGATGGCGGAGAGTTTGATCCGATGCTATCATGTATGTGGGCCCAGTGGTACTACATGGTATCCAATCTTGTTTTTGAGATACAAGGACTAATCCAAGTCTTGGAATAGTGGACACATTCGATCTCTCGATTCCTTCAAGGCATGATTCCCGACCGTGAAGGTATTCTGTATCGAGATGGTGAGCTTGGTCGCCTGAGCCCTACGAACTTCGAGTTGTCTGACCTATGCAGTGACCGGCATGCAAGCAGAGTTAGAGAAACATTTAGATGCTGTGCGGTCATTGGAGCACTCTCAGGACCCATACTTATCGGTTCGACAGCCCTACGTTGCCAACATTTCAGTCGAACCAGGCCCACCCTTGTCTCCACGCCAGATTCCTCAGGAAGACGGACGCCGCCCTTCGATGATGGAGAATCCGTCTCGGCCCAACATGATCCGCCCACCCGTTCCCCCACATCTAGCTGCCTCTCCGCGTCGCTTTGGTTCAATTGGAGCTGGACAATCCTCTTCGAACTATAGTCGTCCCCAGGTGCCATCTGTGGTCACTCCACAACAGCCTGTGCCTCATCCTCTGTCAGCTGTGTCGTCGCCCCCAGGCCCTAACCTCACTCGTCGCCATACATCAGCCGATATTAGACAGCATGGCTGGCCTCCACCGGGGGTATCACCATTTCCTTTGGCTCATCTGCCCACCCATGCGGCAAATCCCTGGTCGCCGTCGCGACACCGAACCCCGACTTCCAGTGAGCAGCAAGTGCGCGATGTATTGGCACAATACGAAATGGGCGCCCCTAGGCGTCTACAAGAAACCACTCGTCATGCCACACCTCCCTTACACCCTGACCAGACTGTTCCCGCCGATAATGGGTGGCCTTTAGGTCCCAGGTTTCCTCGGCACGAAATGTCCCTTCCTGCAACCCGGCGCTCGAGCATGGCGAGCAATGTTCATTCACTTCTTAACCCCGCCGATACAGCCGAGCGACCGGATGAAGACCAGCATGCGATGGCGGATGATCGAAAGCGGAAGCGACTCGAGTAAATCACTGGCGAATTATCCTCACATATTTTATAAAGGAGAAACATCATTCCAAGCAGCACGGGCAGAACTTTTCGATGCAGCCTATTGACAACTTCATAGCATGCGACTGCTATTAATGCGACCTCACGATTCTCTTTCCATAATGTACTCCTTGCCTGTGCTGCGAATTTTCGGAAAGAAGAAAAGGATCTGGAAAAAATCACAAAGGAACCCCAGCCCTCCCCAAGCATATCTTGGCCAGGTCCCCACCATTGGGATCATCAGCCCGCCTGTATTTTTTTCATTTTTCTCTTATAGGTTCCTTCCATTATACTTTTGGGTTGGAGCCTTCTTGTACAATCAATCATAACGGAATGAGGGAAGAGACTCGGCTCGGTAGCAGCCTACAACTTTCGTGGTGAGGGTCTTTGGAGGTTGCTGACCTTCTGCACTGCTTGGCAGCATGTGTTTGCGCGCATTGTGGCGGTGTTATTCCCCGCTGAGCGCATGGGAATTGCCGCTTCCCGTTCACATCACTGCTCTCCCAGTCATTGCAGTCATTTCCGGGTGGCCATGCACTATCTAGCATTTCAGGTTTATTGGGCCATACTTGTTTATTTATACTATATACCCTGGATTGAGTGAAACAGAATACTGCTTGGGGACACTAATTTAGAGATATGAATCTATAGTGACTTTGACTATAAAATGTACAGATCTTGACTGTCATCTGATGCAAAGGTAGCGAATGTGTCCAATGTGCTGAACGGGCCGATGTTGTCATTGTAGGGAGTTTGACTGTTGGTCATTAGCCGTTGTTCAGTTTGTAAATCTTTCTGTATGCCACCATTTATGGGGGGTATCAATATCGGACTTGATTTATGTCTAATTACACGAGATGGTCAATTGAAAGAACAATACATCAGCTCTTCTTTCTCTTCTTCGACCGTTCGGCCAGAATTTCATCTAAGAAACTCGTGCCCTTCTTCCTGCTTCTTCGACCAGATGAGGATTGCGACGAGGCTGCTTCTTGTTTATCGCTACTCTCGATATTTGCCTCCTTGGCGTCAGGGCCCAGGTTTTCGGCATCTCCAGAGACTTGTTGCGCATGAGCAACTGCTTTCCTCTTCCTCGAGAAGGTATTTCTTCTGCCTATGAGGGCCAGACGACCCTCCTCCTCATCCTCGTCATCCTCGTCAGCACCATAACCGACGCTGGACGATGCCCCCTTCCCTGACGGTCGACCTGGAGCCGTGCCAGCGGAGGAAGATGTCGCCCCAGTCTTTGCACTATTGGCCTTGGCCGCCATGACCTTTTGATAATTACGACCGAGCAACTGTTTCCGCAATTTATCGTTCGAGTCCAACTCCGTGCGATTCCAGCTTCCATCCGCGGCTTTTGTCGGCAGAGGCGCTCCAACTCCGAGCCTTCAGACACATGAAAATTAGCGACACGAAGCATTATTAGAGGTTCACACGATGGTGAGTCTTTCTTCGCACGGCTTACGTTTCCGGGACTGCCGTAAATATCTCATCCTCTTCGCGTTGCAACTCCTCTTCCGATTTTACATTGACTAGGTCCTCTGCCTTCGGAGCTGGGAGCCATGATGCGACAAGCCGTTGGCTGCGGGCCAAGGCGACGTTGGCCTTATTGAGGATGATATCCGTTTCTGACTGAGATATTGACATTTTGAGAGGATGTCAATCAGAGAATTAAGTTCGTGGGCTGGAGGTTTTCCCCTCTGGGAAATTAATTGATTGATTGATTGATTTTGTCTGAGTGCATAGGTAGTTTCATATCGAACTTTTTCGGCGATAGCGAAGACGGGACAGGGGATGGGGGCAGAATATGCGGGCAGGGTCTGGGCCTCACCGCTTTCCACTGTAGGTATACCTCTGTCTTGGGCATCGCTGATTGGTTAGAGGTTCAATGGCTAAGTACTATATACCTCAGCTAGTATGGACTTCTAATACTATTCCTAGACGATTTTAGTTGTATCGATTTGGTAATATGTCAAGGAAGAGCTGGTTCTCTGAATTTGAAAGTGGGCTCGCAATGCTCTCTTCAGACGTTACAAAGCTCGATTAAGACCGTTTATATACACTTCACAGAACATTCAGACGAAGGCTCTCAACTATCTATATGTACAGAACCATGCAGGACAGGGCATGATGTAACGTTTGATGGGGAGAAGATGTGCAAAGCCCTGACCCCTTGGCTCACGTGTGAGCGCCTTCTTGAAGTTTCTGCTGCTTTAATTTCTTCTCCGTCTTCATGAACTCGCGAATCCCGACAGGGATGTTAGCAAAGAGATCTTCCTCAGTGGAATCCGGAAGTGTCCAGCTCGTTTCACTGCCCCCGCCATCGTCATCCATGCTCCCGCTGGCCGCGTTGACCTCCGATCGCGGCGTCTGGCGCTGATCTCTGCCGTTGTTCGTGGAAGAGCCCTTTACCTTGGCCTGCGCAAGCCGTGCGGCCCATTCCTCCAGCTCGTCACGGTAGTCGTCCCAGACGCAGTGAACGCAGCCACTCATGCAGCAGTTGTCCGGCTCCTCCGGTCGTGGGGGGATAGCGACGCCGTTAATGGTTTTCCAAGTCGCGTCGGGAGCGGCTCCGGGATCGTAGCGCGAGGTACGGCCGGGACCGGCGAGACGAGTCCCAAAGACAATAGCCATCTTCTCCTCGGCGGTTTGCGGCTTCGCGGGGGTACTTGTTGGTTCCTTATCGTGTGGTTCTTGGGATTGCGAGGGAAGGATCTGCCGGCTATAGGGGGAACGAGTGGAGAGAATATCATGGTAATAGCCGGCAAGTGGTTGCGCTTGTGTGGTGCTGTTATCAGCTGCCTCTGTTACTGTTCCGTTGCGGAGAGCGGCGGTGTGGTCGTGCGTGGCGAAGCGGCGAGCGGAGCTGGACAACGCATCTTGTTGTCTGATGATGTAGGGAGATGTCCGAAGTAATCGACGCGGGCCATTGCCAGTGGTTGTTCGCGCAAGAGATGGCGCAAGCTCCAGCAGGAGGTGTTTCATTTGTCCCAAGGTGTTGATCAACAAAGGCGGAGGAAAGAACATCAAACAAAGAAAGGAACGGCGGGCGCATCAAGAAAGAACTTGAGGTTATGTCATGATCGGTTTCGCGGGCGGGAAAGCCATATATGCGCGCAAACAGTGCAAACAGACACTTCCCCGACTGCGATAATGCCGGATTAGCCTGGGCGCCTGGGCGCCTGCAAACAAATCATTCGAACCTATTGTTGGACGTTACATTCTTCTCAAATATTATCGTCTGTTGAGCTCAAGGAGGTTCCTCTGAGTTCCAGGATCGCACCTCAAGAGCCACCGACCCGGAGCAACTCAATAGCCGTTTTTATCGGCGCGTCGCAAATGAGCAACTCCCCTCAACCACCAAATGACACCCGGCCACAAGCAAATGAGCGTCCTTCGTTTCAGGCACCAATAAGAGCCAGCTCAGCAAGAGCACTTCCCGGTTCCCTCGAACGAGCGCTCAGCCGATCGCCCATGAGAAGCCCGAGGCAACCGACTCAAAGTAACGCGCGGGCTGTTGGCTTGAGGGATCGGAAGGCTCTTAGACCATCATTGACTTCGTCCGTCAGTCCACTGAAACCCCCAAGAAAGGCGAAGCCATCGCCTCGACTATCCAGCGGTCTCAATGTCTTCGCCGCGCCACCGAGGCGAGTGTCAACTCGAATAACCGCCTCCGATTTGACCTTTCAGTCTCCCATTTCGACACAGCAGAGTATCGAGGCGCTGCGACATATCAACACACCGGACGACCAGCTGACATCGGAGCTGGGAAGTGTAACTGGAGATATGGATGTAATCAGTGATCCCAGCCAGCCTTCTCTACAAGAGATTTTCGAAGAACCAGAACTTCCCCCCACGCCGACTCAACTGGGATTGGAACGCCCTCCGGGGCGCTCAAAAGGGCTTTTGAGCAGCAGTCCTAATTCACAACAAGCAAAAGCGGCGAGGCGACGAAATACGGAGAACCCTGAGCAGACACCATCGAAATTGAGGAGCGTTGATTATGGAGAGGCAGAGGATCCGACAGGATTGGGAACCACCATAGATTGGGATTCGTTCCCAGAGCACATCCTGAAAAAGCGAAAACTGCGGGACGAGCTTTCAGACGAGCTGGAACAACTCAAGAAGGAGATTGGAGAGCTGGATAATTGGTCAAAGGAGTTAAGTCAGTGTGATGAAAGCGCTGAGCGTGACTTGACTAAGCTTATGTATGCTGCACTTTCCAATTGTCGTAGGGGGCGATGACTGACCGGGTCCAGTACGTTACTATCATCTTCTCAACCTACAGTAACAACAACCTCGGGCCCTCGCTCAACTGCGGCATCCATCTCGTCGCTCATCTCGACTCTGCTTCCGTTTGCTGCCAAAGCCCCTCCGCCACCCTTTCAAAATACATATCCGCTCAACGCATTCGCATTGCACGAGCATGCTCACGAGAAACCCTACGTAACAGCTTTTGCACCTTTGCATCTCACCGCATTTTCGGAATTTGTGCCAGGAACAGCAGCCCAGCCCTGTTTAGAAAAACATGTTCTTACTTTCACCGCGCCGCATCCGTTCCCTTCTAATCGCCTCGAAGTAACCATCGCGTATGAGGCCAACCCAGAAACACAAACTCTGGTCTCAATATTAGTGCCGACCGAAAGTCAGACTGGCAAGACAAGAATGCCCGCCTCGTTACAGCGATGGACCGATACCCGACTCTCCAATCCACTCTTAAAACTTGATGTTACGGGGCTTTGCTGGGGCATCAACCGGTACTGGGTAGCTGCAATATTACGAGCGCAGCTATGGTCTGAGATGGAGGAACAGCATGCGTCTTTGATATCAGGTCAAAAGGGATCCAATGCTCGCCCACTGCCGCACTCGGATAAAAGAAGCACACCTGATTTGCGGCGCATTCTTCCCCACCTTGAGCGAACATCTATGCTTTTCCAATCAAACACCAGAGGCCCTAGTCTCCTTCTCTCCTGTGAGCTGAAACTCGACGAATGGACCAGCGAACCCCAGCTTGTCCCTGGAATTAGCGTGTCGCTCATTAGCACCTCCGGTGGGGGGATTACTCCCAGTCGCAGAGTCGAGCGAGAATGCAAGAAGCTATTCCACACCATGCTAACAGAACAGAACGGTAGCCAGCAGGAAGGAGTTACCTCTGAGGGCGACCCATGCAAGATTCAGACCGGCGTCATCTTGCGGGCTACGCAGTGCGTCCTCAAGATTCTGTTCGACGAGAATGATGCTAACAATCATCATTCGGCACATGGTACACTATAGAGCTGATCTGAGCTAAAGTCCAGGGTTGTGGGGCGCCAATCAAGCATATCACATCTCATGTTTATGACGGGAATGAAAATGAATGCGTGGCGTTATCGCGGGCCAAAATGTGGTCAGAAATCCTTTTTTTTTCTCCTCGAGGAATGTCTAGATCTTGGATCTCCAATCTAGGAGATGATTAATTATACCACGAGCCCCACTCAGGGAGCTGTGCTGCAAAGATTTTGTGGATAGTTTCTGATTTGCCTCTTTTTATGGAGCTAGGAGCAATACCGGAGTTTTGGCTTGGGTGAAAGTCCCAAACTTCACATGTATTACCATGAATTGACAGAATGCTCCATATGACTGTCGTTATCCATAGCGTAAATTGCCATGATAGTTTATGGCTATAGATAGCATTCTAGACCCAATGACTCTCCACGCATGCGCGCTACGATGGAAATATATCATTTGCAGCCTGATTCTCTGCGGCATACGGATCATGTGAGATTGACCTCTACTATCTACTAGTCGAATCAAGAAAAACATGTAGGTAATTCTGATGGGGGTATCTGCAAGGCCTTGTGTGATTCGAGAACTTTGACAACCGAGTCCGGGAGACGCGCACAAGGGGGAAAGCAAGCCGTGGTGGGACATGAACTTGGGACATTTGCATTTCGAGGTGTTTGAGAAGCTTTTTAAGTTAGAGACAAAGGTAAGAGAGGAAAAAGAGGAGCCACGCCATGCCACAGTCGACTGAGAATTCCCGACTTGAAAATCGACCCGATCATCATTAGTATTGAATCACATTTATTTCTTGGCAGCAGACTCCTCCTCAGCCTTAGCCTTAGCACGCTTCTCACGGATACCCTTGTAGCGGGCCTCGGAGCGGGCCTCACGGAGGCGGCGGTAGGCAGCCTCCTCACCCTTAGGAAGATCGTCACGCTTGACTTCGGTGACGGCCTCGGCGGCGGACTTGTTCTTGATGGGTAGGGTGGGGTTGACGCGGGTAACGAAGCCCTCGGTTTTGCCCTCAGCGAAGGCAGCCTTGGCGGCGTTGACCTCCTCAGCAGAGGAGTCGAGCTTCTTGAACTGACCGCTCTTGCGGGGGAAGAGAATCAGGCGAGCCTTGTAGTCCTTGAGGCGGGCGACATTGGCGACGAGGGACTCCTTGGAGTAGTTGACACGGCGATGGTCAACGGAGATACCGATGGTAGGAGCGAGCTTCTTGGGGATACCGGCTTCCTAATGAATTGCAAAACGAATGTAAGCCCTTCCATCTCAGAACCCCAATGTGCATCACATGATGGGCATATCCCAATTCCCCTTCCAATTATTCTTCGCCCCGGAAATCGCAGGAGTTTGTTACCTTCAGCTCAGCAAGGGTGAAACCACGGCCAGCACGAACACGACGGTTGTACTTGACAGTAGGGCAGCGCACAACGGGGCGCAGCTTGTCAACCGGACGAGGAGCAACGGCGGCGGCCTTAGCAAGACGAGCCTCACGACGGCGGTGCTTGCGGCCAGGCTATAAACCAATAAGAAAACATGTCAGTCCACACGTTATACTCCTGGAAACGATCTTTTCATCGAATGTCGTTCGCAAACAGGCGGATTGCGGTGCTGGGATCGTAGATTTCTGTTGTAGAAGTAAAGAGCGTACCTGGTCGAAGTGCACGCGGACACGACGCTGCCAGTCCTTGTGGAAGTCTGATTTGAAAGAGAAAAATTCCATCAGTCCCATGATACGTCCCGATTGACCCCAGTATGCATTGTCCATCATCCAGTATCCCATTTCCTTCCCTTTTGTTTTTTTTTCCTCTTCATTTCAATAGTCCTCCTCCCCTCTGTGACATCAATCTGTGTGCGGGGTTCATTACTCACGCTGGTTGAGAATCTGGTTGTTGTGCTTGATCGCCTATATCGCACCGAAAGAACCCATCAGCATTCACCGAGTTGAAAACCAATATTGAGGGGAGGGAGACGAAAGCCCATAATCATCATAGACGATCGACAGACTATCGCAAAGGGACATATCACGCACCATTGTGACGGATGGGGATCAAGGCCGGGAGATTGTCGTCGTCGTCGTGGGTGGTTGCTGGTCGTATCTCAAGACGACTCGCCTCAATATTAGGTGGAACTTTTTTTGGTGTGGCTAACCCGCGCAGAGCCGCATCGCCTCGCTTAGCGAGCCCTACTCTGCTTACCCAATCCGGAACACTCTTGCTCGTGTCCGCCTTTTTCTCCGCCTTTACCGCCCGTCCTTCTGCCCATGGGACTTTCTGCCATTTCATTATCTCCTAATGGGAGGATATGGTAACTAACTATAAGGACGGACGTGAAGATGTGATTGATTGCAGACTATTCCAATGCCGTTCTACAGATGCTTGACAACAATCGTTGTTTTAGCTGCTGCATACCTCTCAATAGCTTTTGTTTGAGTAGTTTACATCGTTCCATGCTTAGTAATGATGACCTAGGTGCTTTTCAGTCGCATGACCTGGAAATTGCACGGATGTCCTTGCTCCAACATTTTTCACACACGATAAGAAGGAACCTTTTATTGTCGTTATGCTCATGCTCAATGTGTATCTCATTCAATACAACCTATCGCTAAATCCATACAAACTCCTGAAAAAGCACCTATGATGATCCACATAATATGCTGTTAAGTCCCACGCAAGAATTTCAAAGACAACGACCCGGGGCATGTGAGATATCACAGGGGAATGAGCTGCTCTTAGATAAGACCAGTTTCTGTCGTCAATTTCTTTACATGTCATCAGTCATTACCTTCCCATCTCGTCGGAAGGGCTCATTTGCAGACAGACATTTCCAACATGTTCGACTCTTCCGAATAAAACTTGAAAGGCGTGTCTCTCATCTCCATGGCGACAGCATAGCAGCTCTGGTAATTGTCTGGCAGAAACAGCGACGCTACGCCGTTTGTGCACGGGTACCGCTTGGCCTAATTGTTCCAGGTGCCAATACCGAGACCCACCCTTTCCTCCGCTTTTGATTTCTTTAGGGTCGCACCGTCAAAACTTGCTTTGCGTTTGAGATTACCACTGAGGGGCCGATCGATGCCGGGCTTCCTCACTTGACCGAACAGTTTAGTCTGTAGCAACGTACTCGACTTTGCTGCACTCGCTACGCCACGCCTCTGCGGATGGTTGCCGAAATTACTGCGAAGGTGCACGTTACTGGGAGCAGTTCGTGTTTCCGAAGCGGGGACTTCTTCGGTCTCGGGTTCAATGTCAGACGCCGAAATGGTACTGTCTCGATCACGACAATCATCAAGGAATTCTAGCCCCGGTGTATGATCTCGACTCTCGCGGTGCGCTAACCGAGGCTGGGACGGGGTTATTGGCAAAGATGACAGAGAATGAGCGTCACGCGCATGACAACTTGCATTTTCTCTATGATCGCGATGTCTGTCCGGTGTCGAGGTAACAGCTGGCGATTCTTGGTTGAGGACGCGATCTGCTGCCAAGAGAGCTTCAAAGGGGGCATGACTTTCATTTCCGTTCATCTGATAACTACCATGATCGGCGAACTGGGGCAGTACCCGTCTATGCGGTGTGTGACTCTCGTACTGGGGACTCGGCGACATTGGGCCATGCTCGATCATCCGAGAAAAGTGTCTTCGGTTGTCACGAATCCGCTCTTTCAGCATTCTATTTTCCTCTCTCAGAAGCTCAGAAGTGTCTCTCTCCTGTTCGATAAGCTTCTTTGCTCGGCGAAGCCTTCGATCGAGTGTAGCATTGATCCTTTCGAGTTCTTGATTGCGCTTGAGGGAAAACTCAAGCTCCACATTAGAGACTGGCTGCACTGATTTGATTTCATGCTGGCATTGGCGACTGCGATACTCTGAACTTTGAAGGATCTCGACCTCCCTTCGCGCAAGTCGGTGCTCGACTTCTGCACGCTTGATCGCTTCGTTGCTCGTGAATGAAAGCAGGCTGTTTTGCAACTTGAAATGAAGCGCCGACATGCGGGACTCTTGAGCCACACCCAGTAGATCTTTGACGATCATGCGAAGCTTCGTTTCATCAGCACTATCAATATCATCGGCAGTTGGCAGATTCTCCGAAGCACCGTATGCTACACAGAGAGTTTTCTCGATATTGGGTGGTGATGCCAGATATGAGCTCGATCGAGACCTCGACTCTCGCAGAGGAGCTTGCGGAATTTGAGACGATGGCGGAGGTGTCATGTCCGACGAGGATAAAGCTGGGGGCGAGAGAAATCTGCCCTGATCGACATTCGAAGTTTGGCTTCCAGCCTTCATACTCAAGTCTGGTGTTGCGGAAAGGCTAGTCCGTTTGGTGGGGGTAGCAGGCCCCAAGATCCCGACGGGGGGGCCAAGCGATCCCTGCGAGAGCGGCCGCTCAATTTCTTGTGACATGATCGAGAGGTAGTACCTGAAGTGCAGACAGATTGTGTTGCTGTGTGCCCAGCTAAGCTCGACGTGCTCCGTATATTGGTTCGTGTAGGCGATCTCCAATGCGGTGGACTGGACTTATGTCACGAGGCGGTGAGGCGCAAGCGCAAGCGAGACACCGATGGCCTTGGTACGTGTGAAGATGCGAAGGGGCAAGGTGTTTTCGTCAAGCGGATGGACACAATTGGCAGGCTTGAGCGGCACAAAAGAACACAAAACCGAAGCAAGCGTTGCGCGACTTGTCGTGAAAAAAGTTTTGCGACGGGAAGTGCGCTTATCACTGATAGCCGGATGGGGCACGTTTCATTCGCAGGCAAGGTAAGTAGTGAGTTGGCGATAAGGAGTCGGAAACAGATCGCTCCGGGTTTGGGCAAGGAGAATCAATGTCCAAGGTAAAGAAAGTATGGAAGCGTGATGGAAGCCGCCCACGGGAGGATAAGGCGACCCGAGGAATGAAGCAGGTAAGGCGACCAGATACAAAGAAGTAGGCGATGATGAAAAGACGATGGTTAGAGGAGATACGGGATGAGGAGAAGCAAGGAGGATGGAGAGGCCGGATTGATGCCTTAAGGGTGTTTGCAAGCGTTGCGCTGCGCACAATTGGAGGAGGCTGGGAACCACTGCATCGCTTGCGGGCAGTTGTCAACCTCAGCCAACCATGTCCGACCACCACCACCCACGTGAGTCCATTTGCGCGCTAGGCTGAAAAGAGATCGTCGATGCTCCTCAAAAGGTAAACAGTCAAACACAAGCCAAACCCCATGAGCCACTTTGATTGTAGCTCAGGCAACCGATGACAGTCTCGGCCCCAAGACAAGACGACCTAGTACGAATTTTGTATGCAGCACTTGAATGTACACGCGAGGGAAGGGGGTTGGGATGATATCATCCCCGTTCCCTTGTCAAAACCTGAATATTTGTGAGTTATTCTCAACGTGCAATAATGTCAAGAATATATTATCTCCAATCTCATAATTGATAGGGAGACTCAAGGTTTCAACGCAGTAGTCTTCCTTCATACTCGCTCGTAGACACCCTCATTATTGTACAACTATACTCTCTGTCATTCACATTGCTTCGCATGTGATCAAGCAGCTCAAATGTGTTGTCAAGTCATTGCCCCCAAGTACTTATTGATTCGATAACTCGTAGTGCCAAGGCAGTATGCCTTAGATGGTGGGAATAAGCAGCCTCAGGCACCACTACATGCAATAACCGCGGCGGGTCTACAAATAATCGGTAAACAATCAATTCGATCACAGCCAGGTTGAGGACAACATGCGCATTGTAAGGTCACTGTACGAATTCGAACACTGAATGTTCTCATCTTGAATATGCAATAGTACCCAGCGCCCACCCGCACTCGCTTGATCTCTAAACATCTTTCCTCTTCTTGCTGATCGATCGGTATCTTCGCATCCGTGACACATGTTTACGGCCAGGAGCTTGCATTGTGCCGAGCAGTAACTCCCTTCTGAAGGTCTTTATTTCTTCACAATCGATTACAGCGGCAGATCGTCAAAACTGGTTGCGAGAATGAACAATCAACCGAAGACACCTGCCCGAGCGAGTGGCATTCCCCGATTAGCCTCGAGACTTCCCCTGCCGACGACATCCGCTACCTCTAAACCACTTCGACCTTCGCCATCGCGTGAGAAGCTACAACTCGACCCAGGTCTCGGTGCAGACAGGCTGCGCAAACCCTCCGAAGATACCGTGTTTAAGAAACCCTTTCCGAAATATACAGCGCCGCAGAAATTCTCCGCTGGACTCCGACCCAAAAATGAATCTCAGACAAGGGCAGGCGGGAACATAAAGTCCGAAGTGAGCACCAGAATGAGTGCTACACCAACTTTAGAGAAAGATGGCATCCCGGTCGAAGACAATGAAGTGAGGGGTCGTACACGACCCTCGCTGGCGGAGCGGACGATCGAGACACTCTCAAAAATCCCGCCGTCTCCAGGGCCAGCCAGGAGACAGTCGAGTTTCTTTGGCGCAACGAGCCCGATGCGGTCCCCATCTCGACCCTCATCATCAATGACTAGCTACTCGAGATCGCCATCTAAGTCATCGTCTCGACAACCCAGTGGGAGTGATTATCTTGCACGACCGTCATCTGCCATGTGTCTGCCATCGAGACCCCGACCTTCTTCGTCCACGAACAGCGCATCGGATGACCGCGGCCTTGCTCCAACTACAACGACTTGTCCGCCAAAAATGAAGATGCCCTCAACGAGGATGAGTGGGTCCAGAGGAAATAGCAACCTGACATCCGTTGCGACGAAGCCTCGTTTAGCGTTGACTCAAACACACATGAACGCCGTTGGGTCAGGCTCAGATGATTCATTACCCAGACTTGAAGTGAAGAAGACAAGACGTGTTCAACCAAAACTCTCGGCATCAAGACAGTCATCTGTTGGGCCTCGGTCACCATCTGCACGATCCACAGCATCCGACTTGACTTCAGAGCAACGATCAGAGATGGAGACAAGAAAAGTATCAAAGTCTTCAAGCGCCCTCCGTGAGAGTATTGCGAAGGCCAAGGCCGCGAGGAAAGCAGAAGTGGAGAAACGCATGCAGCTGTCGTCAGCAGACGATGCTTGGAAACGGATCGACACTGAGGACCCGTTCAATCAGAGGCCCCAGGATTCCCATTTCGAGCTTCTTCGAAAGCGCCTTGAAACAGGCAGAACTTCTGGCCATCTCAATATAGCGGATCTGTCCCTGAAAGAGCTCCCCAAAGAAGTCTTGGCAATGTATGACTTTGATCCTGATGCTACTACCGAGTGGTACCAGAGTGTGGACCTGGTCAAGTTCATCGCGGCCGACAACGAGTTCACGGAGCTTCCTGACGAAGCGTTCCCTGACATTGACCCGCATGATCTAAATGAGGACGCTGAGGGAATGGGAAACCAATTTGGCGGGCTTGAGCTCTTAGATCTGCACGGTAACTTGCTGCAGTCTCTACCCATAGGTTTGCGAAGGCTACGAAGACTTCACACCCTTAATCTGTCAAATAATAATCTCGAAATGAACGATGTACAGGTTGTCATGGAAATCTCATCTCTGAGGGATCTTAAGCTGGCCAAGAATCATTTGAAAGGTCCTCTTACATCAGAGATCAAGAATCTGACTAAATTGGAAACCTTAGACCTGCATGACAATTTTCTTACAGATCTGCCTTCCGAGATGTCAGCCTTGAGGTCGCTCCGAGTTCTGGATGTTGGTGGTAATCAACTGAGCTCATTACAGCTTGATGCTTTGAGTCAGCTTTCTCTGAAGGAGCTTCGAGCCTCAAAGAACAAATTGAAAGATGCACTTGTCCCAAGTTCAATTCATAAACTTGAGGCATTGCAGGTTCTTGATATAGCCAATAATACGTTGTTCAAGCTTTCCGAGAACATGTCGTTGGAGCTTCCAAGCCTCCGGACCTTGGCAATGAGCTCTAATCGCATTCAGTCCTTGCCGGATCTATCATCTTGGCAGGCCCTACTGACATTGTCAGCCGAGGATAATAGCCTTTCGACAATTCCAGACGGCTTCATTCATTTAAAAAATGTTCGGACTGTCGATTTTTCAGGGAACGATATATCCAAATTGGATGACAGAATTGGCCTGATGGACAGCCTCTTCACATTTCGGATCGCTAACAATCCTCTTCGCGAACGCAAATTTCTTACCATGGGTACGGAAGATCTGAAGCGTGACCTGCGAAACCGGTGCGAACCAGAGTACCAGGATACCGATGACGATGCAGGCTCTGTTGCAACCCAGTTCACCTTGGCCCCTGAGACCCCAGCTCAGACTGCCGCTTGGAAGATCAAGCCTGGTGGTGTTCTTGACCGGTCCTACACTGATATGCGGGAGCTTGAGCTGGATGAGCTGCGGCGAATCAACTTGAATGAAGTTAGATGCCTATATCTGCATCATAACGAGCTACGCTACTTCCCAGTGTCGGCCCTAAGTTTACTAGCGTCAACTCTCACCGATCTTGACCTTTCAAACAACCCACTGGATAGCGCAGCGCTGTTTGTCTCGGCTCTGACACTCCCAAATCTTCACAGCCTGAATTTGAGTAGTACAAATCTTACTACATTGGATCCAATTTTGACACATCTTGAGGCACCGGCTCTGACATTTCTGGATGTTTCTTACAATCGCTTGTCTGGTCCGGTGCCTGCTGTACGCCGCACTTACCCCACCATGATTGCTTTTCTGGCAACAGATAACCGATTCACCAGTTTGGAATTCGGCGCGGCTCAAGGCCTTCAAGTTTTGGACGTGGGAAACAACGACATTGGCATGCTTCCGCCCAAATTAGGGTTGCTAAGAGGAGAAGGCTCGAGTAGAAACTGGGATAATGGGAGTGCTTTGCGACGGTTTGAGGTAGCCGGAAACAGCTTTCGTGTGCCTAGATGGCAGATTGTCGCCAAGGGCACCGATGCCGTACTTGAATGGCTCAAGGATCGGATGACTGTGCAAGCACTTTCGGAGTATGAGCCACACGACGAGTTAACTGAAGATCTATATGATACATAGTACGGCTTTTGTCAGGCTGTCATTGCTCGATTTGCAGGGGACCCATCTTATAAGTTAACTATGGCACAACTTGATTGCGTAGCATATTCACATTCAAAACCTCAATGCCTTGGGGCCTATGCTCCGAGCTCTTATGTAGTAGTTAGTCCTGGGGTGAGGACATGCATGTCGTTGGTGACCAGAATGTGGTAAAGCTAATGTGTTGTCGTCGTTGTCTTGGTCCCGGCTAGCCTATTCCCTTAGCTTTCGATGATATCAGCTCCGATGTCCCAATACCTCAGGCGTGGCCCTAAGCTCAAGCCCTAGTTTCCCGATTGAGGCGGGTAAACTGCTTGGCGTCGCCGCCCGCGGCGGAGAACCATCAATCACTTCGAACCATCCAGTGTACAACTATCTGAACTTCTCAGCGCAGGTTGTCTTGCTCCCACCCCCGTGCTAGATGCCAATGCGCAGGCTCGAGTCGTTTGTCGAGGCCAATTCTTTGTACTGCGATCTTACAGCAGCGACCCTTCCCCAGCATGGGCACCGCTAAACCGCGGCCCTCCGGCTCTAGAGCTTCCGTCTCAAAAGCCCATTCCTTCCAAGCTCTTCCGGAGAAAACTTTCATCGTCGATAATGGCGCATATACGCTAAAAGCAGGATTTGCGCCTGACTATCCACCACCAGAGGACGAAGAAAAGGCGCTGTCGGCGTGCGCGACCATCCCCAATGCGATTGTCAAGACACGTGAAAACCGCATTTACGTTGGCTCGCAGCTTAATACACACGTGACAGACTGGAATGAGGTGTCTTTTCGTCGACCGGTAGAAAAGGGCTACATTGTCAACTGGGAAGCACAGAAAGAGGTCTGGGAGCAATCTTTCTTCGACGAGAAGACCGTGCGAGGCAATGATCTACGCATCACCGACCCGGAAGACACAACCTTGGTGCTGACGGAGGCTCCCAATGGTCTGCCTGCTTTGCAGAAAAACGCCGATGAGATTGTAATGGAAGAGTGGGGCTTTGGAGGTTATTACAGAAGCCTAGGTACAGAAGCACGAACCCCGCCTCCAGACATGCATAGTCGTTTTCACTGCGTCCTGTGTTGCTGATGCGGAATTTCCGCCTTAGGACCACCATTGAATGCTTGGAACGAACTGAACGCCCTCTTTGGAGATTCGGTTGTGAGAGAAGCAGACTCTGTCGTGACGCCAAGAGAATGTTTGCTGGTTATCGACTCTGGCTACTCCCACACCACGGTGACGCCTGTTTACCGAGGCCAACCGCTCCAGCGTGCTGTACGCAGACTTGACCTGGGTGGCAAGCATCTTACAAATTACTTGAAGGAAATGGTGTCTGTGCGGCAGTACAATATGGTGGATGAAACCTATATCATGAATGAGGTCAAAGAGGCGGTTTGCTACGTGAGCAACAATTTCGTTGGCGACTTGGAGCAGAGCTGGAAAGGCAATCGAAAGCGTGGCCTTGCTGAGTCGAATGAAGGGGTCACGGTAGACTATGTCCTTCCCGATCCCAATGCGGGGAAGAAGGGTTTCATGCGACCACACGACCCATTACTAAACGCCAAAAAGAGGAAAGGAGCGCTGTCCGGTACCAGTGCTGAGGCATTCTCGGAAGACGCTTTAATTTTGGGCAACGAGCGGTTTACTGTGCCGGAGATTCTGTTCACTCCCAGTGATATTGGGATGAAACAGGCCGGAATTCCGGATATCGTTCTGCAAAGTCTTGCTGTACTGCCTACCGGATTACACCCGGCCTTTTTGGCCAACGTCCTGGTCGTCGGTGGAAACTCATTACTACCGGGGTTCATGGAGCGATTGTAAGACGATCCCTTGTGATTATGACCTTCTGATTTAACTAACCCCAGTGTAGGGAGACCGAGCTGCGTCAACTGGCATCTGTTGAATGTGTTGTAAGAGTGCGGTGCTCTCAAGAGTAAGCTTACCCTTGCCCCGTGACTCGAGCGCAGAGAGACTAATGGGTTTTCATGATAGCCCAATTCGATCCACTTGGCTGGGCGCGTCACGCTTCGCCACCAACCGAGAAGAACTGAAAAAGGTCGCTATCACTCGTCAGGAATACCAAGAGTATGGTTCCTCATGGGCTGGTCGGAAATTTGCTGGTGCATTATAGCCGACCGGGGTGGTCAAGATTTAAGCGCGATTGGCGTCCTCGGAGGACAGAGCAGCAGCTGTTCGTTTGCTACGCTAGGCTGGCACCTATTTCTGTTTTGTGTGTATATTATGTAGTATGTGTCCTTGATACCCTGTAAGTTACCAGATGGTTGATTGAATGTGCGAACACAGCAGACCGTCTTCCCATTTCCGTTGCAAGAAAAGTACAAACATGATCGTCCATTCAATTGTCAGAACCCAAGACTTCAGAGGGATCGAAACGACCATGCAGTGTCAATCAGTTGGGCAGAAAAGATGCGGGTGAGTCAAGGGGATCGAGTTGTGTGGTCGCTTGTTGCGGTGAGGTGAGGCTGGGATTTGTTTCCTTGCTGCTTGCTACCTAACCTCCCCTCCCTCCTAGTCTAATCTTCTTCGACCTTGTGCTTCCTATGAACGTCTTCCATACAACCTCGACAATCCACCCCCACCTCCCGCAGTCGAACACGTCGACGTCGGCTTGACGGAAAGCATACCGGTACCCTCATGGTTGACCTTTCCCGACATTTGCTCCTTGTTGCCGCGCTCGATTGTGCTCATGGTTGGTTCGAATCAATGTGATAGCGCCGTTCCCAGACTTCCAATTATCAGCGATCGGCGAATAGGTGACTGATGAGACCCTCCCAGTTGCTGTGGTAGCGAATGATGGAGTCTGGACATGTGGCATTCGACCGCTTTAACCATGGCGTGGCCGCTTAGTTGGCGCCTATGCCGACATTTCATCATGCGACAGCCTTTCGGAAGAGCATTCCGGTCGGTCTAGAAAGAGCTTATATAGGAGAGAATGTCGTCCTGCTTTATTATATTTTTCTGATCTTTCAGACCCTCTACCTTTCATCTATACATACAGCAGCAGAGAATCCTCCTCAGTTCGAAGTATGTTGAAGATACACGGTAATCGGCTCTAGTACTACTTTTCAACCGCTCTTGCCAGACACGACCTGCGATTATGGATTCCAGTGTTCCAGAATACTTCCAGTCAACCAAACCGTCCGGCGTGCCGCTACTTATCCTCGAGATAACCAATCCTCGCAGGGAGATTCCGCAATTTGTTTCCTAGTCCTGAAGCTGTCAAACAGTTTGCACGACGACGAGGATGCCTGCTTTGGCGCTTAGAAGTTTGTTGCCTCGGCCTGCTCCGCAGTCAGCTAAAGCATACTCCGTGCCAGACACGGTTCATACTATGCGCGGGTCGAAGTCACACACTCGGTCGTCGAATGACTCTTCCAGGGCCGATGGCGGTCTTCTAAATCCACTGCCAAACAACAATAAAACTGGTCGTGCGAAATCCAGGGTTAAGAGCTTCCTGACCAAGCTCCGTGGCAGGCTCACCAAAGAACAGGCCAAGATCGAGTCCACCGACGAGTTAGTAGACCCCATCACGCCAGAAACCCTTAACCCAAGACGTACTGACATGACGTAGACGCTGTGTATGTTGCCTCGACATCATGCCCGCTGAGTGCTTGGTGACCATGCCCTGCCAGCATAAGTATTGCAGCCGATGTATGAAGCAGATGGTGCTCACAGTCATCTCCGAGGAAGGATTGTTTCCACCCCGATGTTGCAAACTGGATATCCCAACAGATATTATACTGCCTGTGTTGACGCCCAAGGAGAAGGCCTCCTATATCGAGAAAGCGCAGGAATTTGCGACACCAGCTTCAGAACGTTGGTACTGCCCAGCGGCGGTGTGTGGGCGCTTCATCCCGCCCCAGAACGTGCGGAGCACATCCTCGTCACAGACGTGTCCTTATTGCAGTACCAAGATATGTTCGAGGTGTCATGACTTGGCCCATATATCGAGACGGTGCTCTCCGGATCCTGGTCTTGCCGCCGTCCTTGAAGAGGCCCGACTCAAACAATGGCAACGATGTTTTGGCTGCGGTTCCATGGTAGAGCTCATTTCTGGATGCGATCATGTCACCTGTAGATGCAAGGCACAGTTCTGGTAGGCTTTCCATTCAACCTCACTTCAATTTATAAAAACATCATAGAAGGCTGACGGTTTCATAGTTACAAATGTGGAGATCCCTGGTCCGCTTGCGCCTGTGCTTCGACCGGACAGCGACCCGCCGATTTCCTGGCTGTGCTGATCGGACACGCGAAACTGAGCCGAGACCAGGAGGCGGAGTTGTCTGCTGTGGTCGCTGCAATATTGCGTAACGAAAGGCTTCGTGACGAGGAGGCGGCCAACGCCAAAGCGATTATCAAGGGAAGCAGCAGGGAGAGCAAGAGACTTTCCCGGTTGAGCATAGACTTGCTTCGCCGGGACCTCAATTTATGATGTGATGCTGGATGATTCAACGCGGTTATGCAAGGAGGCCTGAGATGCTGACTTAGCCATTCTTTTCAAGTTTCCTTTGTTCCGTTATGCGACGCTTGGTTCCTTCTTCTAACACCGGTTATTTTATGATTTATCTCTGCACACACCTTGCCAGAATGACACAAACGATACGGATAGACGGGTTTATGAACTTCGTTGAGACATGCCGTCTTGTGGCAGTCATTGTAGACAGCTAGAACCAGCATCCATACTCTATCTCATGCAACACGATGGAATGACTGCGGTCCTAATATCCACTTCTGGAGGTTGGCCGCAAATGAGGACAGACCATGGTGACAATATTCCGAGAAAGGGGACATATCGAGATGCACTATCAATAGTCATAGAAGCCTTTGCCCGACTTTTTGCCCAACCAACCCGCATCCACCATGCGCTTCAAGAGACCCGACGGCCGGTACTTACTATCCCCCGTCTCATGATGCAGGACAGTCATAATAGCCAGACAGGTATCCAGCCCGATAAAGTCCGCCAGCGTCAAAGGCCCCATGGGCACATTTGTACCATTTTTCATGATACTATCAATGTCCTCCTTGGCCCCTACTCCAGTCTCCAAACAGATGATCGCCTCATTAATATACGGCATGAGGATACGGTTCGCCAGGAAGCCTGGCGAATCCGCGGAGATGGAGGCGACCTTGCCCATGCGCTGCACAAATGCAACGGCCGTGTCAAGCGTTTCCCGGGATGTCTGCAGACCGGCGATGATCTCCACTCCCTTCTGCACGGGCACAGGGTTCATGAAGTGCGTCGAGACGACCCGCGCCGGTGCCTGAAGGTCGGTCGGGTCTGTTGTCGTCGCCGCCGCGATTTTGGTGATGGAGATGGACGAGGTGTTAGTAGCCAGGATGGCGTGCTTAGGCGCAATCTGCGCCAGCTGCGCGAAAATAGACCGCTTCAGATCCACCATCTCCGGCACCGCCTCGATGACAAAGTCCACCGCTGCGAGGTCGTCCATCTTCTGGCTGGGCAAGATGCGTGCGCGCGCGGCGTTGGCGGCGTCCTGCGTGAGGCGCTCCTTAGCAACATCTTTGGCGAGAAGTTTGTCTGATTGTGTAGGAGGTAGGAGATCCCGGAAGGTTAGTTGTGCTTTAGCTTGAGTGCGAAGAGCAGGCCTATGCGATGTCGGTTGGGGGGAGGGGGGTTGGATGGTGATGTAGCGGGTGGGCGTTACCCGCAAACTTAAGACCCTTATCTAAAGAGGCTTGTGAAGTGTCGATTAATGTTACTGGGATTTGAACTTTCTGTGCGGCAACGAGAGCGATGCCCAGTCCCTAGTACATTTCGACTTAGTACAAATTTCGAGGGTTCGAAGCATTGTGTTCTGGGTAGAATAGGTTGCAACCGACCATTTGACCAGCGCCTATCACCCCCAAAGATTTGACCTCGGCAGCTCGTGCGAGGGGAGATGTGCTGAAGGCCCGAGAAGCCATTGAAGAAGGGCTCCTACGGCAGAGAGAGTAAACTGACGATGACAACATGACTGTAATAAGAGCAAAGTGCTTGTCGAGTGTGTAAAGGTAGAGAACCGAAAGGTCGACAATAGGAGTCTCTCCGCACTTTTATGCTGAAGCTTATCCTTGTGCTTGTGATCGTCGGCGGGTATTTTGGCCCATATAGCCGACGTCATCGGTTAGCCTCGGCTCAGCCGGCTAGAATGTTGACCCGTAGATCCGAAGGCGGAGACGCGATAGACACGAGAATGGCGCGTTATGGTTGATCCATTCTCTGTTTGCGCGCGGCGGGATTTAGAATCATCATCCCATCACTATCAGATTGCCCCGAAACGAACGATGAGGGACTGCCAGTTGAAGCCATCCGGGGTTTAGCATCACTGATCAACATGGAGGTTGAAGAGCCTGCGCTCGCCATCGCCGAGTCCACCGTCGTCGATCCGGAAGTTCGAGCCCATGTCTACAGTCTTGTCACCGCGGTGAGTGCGCATTGCGTTCCGTATTTCTGCCACAATGAGATTCTAATTTATCCCGCCAATAGCTCGGAGGATTTAACGGAGAAGATGCGGACAAGTACGTTCTGGGTGACGATGCACTGGCATGCTTGCGGGATATTAAGCGCTGGCTGAAGCTCTACGATGAGAAATACAATCGTATGGATGTCGCACGGTGCCTGGGAGAAGCAAATCTGGTCAATGGTGACCTGCTCCCGATCCTGTCGACCTTTGCGCATAGCAAAAAGCAGACCAAGTATATGTCGCGCATTGCTCTGGCATGTCGTATGTATTGATACTATCGGCCACCATTTCCGGGAGACACGATGACTGATAAGTTGCAGTGGAAATCTTGGTGCCTTTAACATGGCCATTGGAGATGCAAGGCGAAATGATGGCCGACAATTTCAAGCATATCCCGTATCTTCAACACTCACATGTCGCCTATAAGCGAGGCATTCTCAACCATGCCAGTACTGGCTACCTCCGCACAATCATTCGTATCGGCCTCCCGAGCATGGCCATCCCACGACCCGAACGCGCCACCCGAGATGAGGGGATTCTCAAGCTGATGCTCTTCTTCCTGCGCAATATTGCCCTGATTACTCCGAATACCCGCCTAGCAGCTGAAGGGGACGAGGAGGAAACATCTCGATCGGCCACCATAAATGCCTTTCAGGATCAGGATGTATTCGCACTCATTCTCACCATGTGCTCTAATGTGGGAGACGACTTCAACATGCAAGACGTGGCTCTCCTCGAAATTTTGTTTCACCTTGTGAGGGGTATCGACGTCGACAAGCTATTCATGGATGATACGCAGCGAACCGCCAAGCGTACCGACGAGCTTGACGACCTCTTGCGGAAGGAGTCGTCGCTGAGAAGAGAATATGCAAAGAATGCACCCACGCGGCACGGTCGATTTGGAACAATGATCTGGGTCAAGCGCGACGACGCCAAGTACTCCACGGTCTCCGGGCAAAGTGTCCTCAAGGACGACCAGACGACCTTCCAGAAGATGGATGAAAGCAAAAAGTGGAACAAGCCTCAGTTCCGCCGAAAGGTGCAAGATTTGACCTTGTACAACGACTTCAGCACTCCCGTGCACATCAACTCGGCAGCCTCTGAGAACCTGAGGAAGTTTGTCGAAGAGTTCTTGGATTCTGGGTTCAACCCACTTTTCACGCACGTGCGTAAGGCGATCGAGCGCGAAGCCGATCGGGTGGTGGACATAAACACCCGTCAGTTCTTCTACACCGTGTCCTGGTTTCTGCAGGCGGAGCGGGCACGACGCGCACGTCAGCGGGAGAAACGGGCACAGAGCGAGAGACCAGGCAAGGAGATCGAACCAGATAGCTTCGGTCTTGTTGCCAGTGTTCTGGATCAGGAAACGTTTGTCTTCCTGAATCGGGCCATGCAGTATGCAGTTGACAACAAGGATTGGCAAGATCTCACCGCAGAGATGCGCTGTTTCACACAAATCCTGCTGACTGTTCAGGACATGGTCCAGTCTCCACTCGAGGAGGACCAAGAGATTGCTGAAAATATCCAAAATCGCATCTTCTACGAAGAAACGACGCATGATCGCGTGATCGCTATTGTTCGCGGTTACACCGACCAAGGGTTCGGCTACCTAAATGCATGCACCGAGCTTTCCCATGTTTTCTTACGGATGCTGGAACGCTACTCAAAAGAGAATGTCGATATGCAGGTGCGGTCCCGGCGGCGCGCCAGACGGAAGCAGAAGGAAGCCGGGGGAGTTGTCGAAGGGGAGAATGACGAAGAGCATGGATCCGAGGATGAGGATATGTTAGAAGCCGAGAGAATGTCAAAAGAGCGCAGCTTCGATTTTCGGCGCTTTGCCGCCAAGTTCTGCAACCAGAAATGCGTCGACACCTTTGTTAGCTTCACTAAGCATTACAGGGAGCTCAACACTGAGCAGCTGAAACGTGCCCACCGTTATTTCTACCGGATCGCCTTCAAGCAAGAGATGAGCGTCTTGCTCTTCCGTCTCGACATTATTAATCTTTTCTACCGCATGATCAAAGGGCCCGGGGCCTTGGATTCGAGCAAATCGATTTACAAAGACTGGGAGGAACTGGTCCGTCAAATATACAGGAAACTGACGAGAAAGCTGGAGCAGCGCCCCGCTCTATTTGTCGAACTATTGTTCAGCAAGACAAACGCGACCACCTTCTACCTGGAGTACGGACACGAGCGGCAGACGCTACCAAGCGTCCGCAGAGCGCCAGCGGAGCTGGAAATCGATCCCAAACAAGCTAGCACCATCGAAGAGAAGCTGAGCATCATGGTGCCTGCCTTGGTTCTGGACGGGGACGCAGAACTGGTCAAGTGGGTGAGCGAAGTTTTGGGGTCTGCCATTGAAGAAAGAGATGCTTGGGAAGAACAAGAAAGGGCCCTGCGCGCGACAGGCGCAGAGAGTGCAAGGGTTCCAAACCCCATGATATGTATGTATTCTGTCCACCTCCTTCCTGGTGGTATACTGTAGCGCATATACTGACCGTTGCGCAGCTGTTAAAACTCGAGACGAGACATGCCAGAACGCCATGTTCTCCAACGCCAAGCTTCGCCTGTTGATGACGCTTGTTAAATTCGAGCGACTAGGTGTGGAAGACGTGGCTGGAGCTTCCTGGGTGATCCCCTCGACTGCCACGGCGCAGGATCTGCGAGAAATGAAGTCCTTTCTCGACAAGTATTTCGCCAAAGCGGAGAAGGGAAATATCGGCCAGGATCCGCGCGAACTGATACGACGCAAATACGGCCCCAAGAAGACTGCCAATCCATCCGAGGCACAGGATACCGTCAACTTTGGTTCCGAGTCGGAGGGCGAAGACGAGGTGCCCGACGGGTTTCTGTTCCCGCCCAACCCGCGATTGAAGGCGAATGCGCTCACAGAACTGAAGCAGAAGCGGAAGAAACGCAAGCAGAAGGACGATGACGACGGCGAGGGCGGCGAACCCCTCGATGAGGAGACCCTCGACGAGCGACGCCGCGCTCGCGAGGAGAACGCTCGCGCTCGTCTCGCAAAGATCAAGAGTGACCTCTATGTGCATGCTAGCGATGAAGAGACAGATGAGGAGGCGGATGAGAAATTTTTCAGGCTAGAAGAACAGCGGCGCAAAACGCAGGCCGAACGCATCAAACAGGCCATGCTCCATGGCGTCCCGCCAGAGTTGCTGGGGGTCACGGGGAAGAAGGGACAACACAAGCAACAGACCAAGCGACAGCGGGTTGCTGCCGGAGCGGACGAGGACAATGACCTAGTCATGGGAGGTTTGTCACCTGGGTCGCCACATGCCGATGCTCCTGGGGATGAGATCGACGATAACCCGGACTTCGATGACAATCTTGCCTTCAGCCGCAAGCGCGAGGACCTGTTAACATCAGCTCCCGACGATGAAGCTATGCAATCTCGCGAGCCTGAGGTGGCCGGGGACTCGCCGGATGAGGAGGATGAAGATGCACCGGTTGTTGCGGCTGCTTCCCGCCGGCGGATGCGCGCTGGGTTTGTGGTGGACAGTGACTCGGAGTGAGACGAGCTGAGTTGTTAGTCTGGACTAGTGATTCTGATGATGCGGAGTTCAGGGTGTGTTGGTGTTGAGGGCTGGTTGTTGAAGATGGTTCTAGATAACAGCTGTACCGGCTGAGATATGAATGAAGAGCCTACCATTCTTGTAATAAATACCCTTCTGCCACAGGAAAAGCTCTGAGCCAATTACCAAACGTGAATTGCGCTCTTCCGCTCGCTATCTATCAATCGATTGGTAAATTAGACTCTTCAACTCCCACCTCGATGACTTACAGTCAGGGCCCTAGGGGTGGGTGGGGGTGGCCCGCATCGCACATGAAACGCACCTTAAGAACCAGAGCCAAAATGCGGGGTCGGAGGCAGACCCAGGCGAGGAAGGCTCCTTCGCAGCTCATCTTCTCGATTGTGAAAGGTATGAGTCAGGTTCTCGTGAAGGGGCCGTCGCTGGCGGCTTCGAGGGTACGTACGCGAGCGGTGGGGGATGGGGAGTGCGGCGGGTGGGTTAACGGCGAATCATCTTTCTCTGAGGCAGAGGAACACATCGCAGAAGCAGCAATCACAGGAATGTGCTTGAGATTGTGCAGGGTTTCGAGATGGGCAGGCGGAGTGAGATTGGGTCGAGACGGAGATGGAAGGTTTGCGGACACGATTGTCTGTCTATCTGCATCTTAAGGGGGATGCTGTCGTCGTGTCCGAGGGGTCGATTTTGATTCCTCCATGACCTCCACAGTAACTTCAAGTATATATCATACATCAACGTATGTCCATTATTATCCGTTATCCATCAATCATCATGCAATACGTACATGTGAGTAAGCATCAGTAACAGCATTTTTCATCAAGTCATGCACAGGGGATATAAGAAAACGAAAACATCCACAGAAAGAAAATCTCAACATATAGACCGAGCAAACAATATCTACTTCCTCCAGAACATTGCTTTCCCCAATTGCCTCTTCATCGTCCAACCCGCCTCCGAGAACTTGTCCTTCAATGTCGCGCCCCCACCGTACCGATAGGCCGTGGTGTTTGTCCGTCCCGACGAGCTTGCTGTAGCACTCGCGTTGGCGAGGTTGCCCGCATCGAACTTGGTCTTGCCCTCGACGATCTTCTGCACCACAAGCAAGACTGCGTACGTGGTGGAACCAATGGTCCGGATCAGTGCTAGGATAACCACCGACCACAGGATGATCGATAGATAAATGTTCGTGCCGCCCGAATCCGGGCTGTACACCTCCGAGATGGCCATGGCAAGGACAACGTTGGCCACCATCCAAATGGACACCATGTACGTTCGCACGGCGCGGTAGTAGTCTTCCTGCAGTTGACTGTCAGATATAGGGGCCTCAGGAACCTCCACCCGGTCGCGCAGGTTACGCAGGGCGGCGTCGTAGCCGCTGTCGATGTCGAGTTGCTCGGATGGCATCTCGATCTCGACCGTGGTCCCGTTGATGGTCCGTGCTGCTCCGAGGTCATTGTTCATTACGTTGTCACCCTTGGTACCCCAGGTCACGTCGTGGGTGTTGCAAAAGGCATAGACCTGCAGAGTACAGATATAGCTGGGCAATAGGATGAAGTACTGCGCGGAGGAGGTAAACATATGCCAGGGGTCCAGGTAAAGGAACGACGAATAGAAGTAAAGCCCAACGGTCGAAAGCATGGACATGACGATATTCACGAAAAGCCCGTTGCTAACAGTGACCTTGGTGTAACCACCGTATCTGGCCAAGAATTCGATGACAATCAAGTAGAGCGTGCAGAAGATGGTGTAGAACATGATGATACCGTAGACAATGATACCGGACAGGTAGAGCTTTTTGGCACTGCGAGGGTCAGATATACCATGTGTGCAAGCAGGCCGGGATACTCACCCTTGCGGTCGATTACCCATCGAAATAATGAATTGCAGAGCCATCACAAGGATACAGGCATATCGTAAGATAACGAATATGTACTTTCCAATGTTATGTCCGAAGGGGTCGATTTTCTTGTCGGTAAGCGATCCAGCGATGAAGTAGAATACCAAATAGAAGTTTGCCTATTCCAAAGTAAGTCTGGTTCCGTATGTAGCATGAAATGCACTTACCAAGCCAAAGTACGTGAACAGGAGCTGCATAAACTGATAGAAACTCTCAATCTGCAACAGAATCTTTCGGACCAGCGAGTGGTCAGTCTTCCAAAGTTGCCTTCCATTCACGATCGAGTACACCGCCGCGAAAAAGGCACCGTTCAGCCATCGCCGACGCTGAGAGATAAACTCAGGGATCGTATCTGGTAACCAGTTAGTCACGCTAGGTATCCCTGGAGGGAGTCGACCCTACCAGGAACATCGGTTTCGCCAACAGCACTTTTCACAAATCGCAGGACCCATCTCTCTTCCCTCTTCGCCACCAGCTCCCAGCAGAGAATACGATCTTCAGCCAAGTACATGTTGGCCGTGAAAACGTCCGCGTCTTTGCCGTGCAGTGTCTCACCCTTGAAGTACTGGTTGAGAGGTCCATTGCCGTCGGCGTCGTTTTGCAGAGCGAAGAACCGGTATGCACTGAGCGCACCGGGAAGGACAGTAATATATCCAAAAACCGACTCAAGTGGCTTGTCCAGGATATTGGACATCTTGTACTCGAAATTCTGACTCGCGACCAGCGGGTTCAGAAGACCTCTCATATTCTTACCCTTGCCCGCCTTGATCTCTCCGGCAGCTCCAGCCACGTTGGAATCCTGGTCGAATGCCTTCCACAGGTGGTACAGTGCCGTGGGCTCTGGTTTGGTTCCCACATCCAAAAGAATGCAGATATTGGGCTGGAGAGCCCGTCCAAATGCGTTGAAAAACCAACGGTGAGAATTGAGCTTCTTCTTATTGTGCTCCTTGAGACAGAAGATGATCTGGCATGGCGTCATGCCCTTCTCCGCACCCTTGAATTTCAAATCCGAATCAAGAGACACTTGTGTAGTGTACTCATATACGTGAGCTTGCACTTCCTTCTGATTGACAACGTTCTTGGCGATGCCTTCCTGGTAAACACCTAGAGCTGCGAGAGCATTGAGGGTCCGCGGATGCACCTTCTTGCGCCCGTCCGCGATAATGCACACAACGATTTTCTTCCAGCCGTCTTTACCCCATGTTCGAGACTTCGACCGGGAACAAAAGTGGCTGATGTTCCGCATGACACCATGCATGGTACGGGTGAAGCCAATTTCATCTTCGTTGTACATAGTAATGCAAATGAACAGCTCGGTCTCTCGCATCGTTGTGCCAATTTGCTGACGAAGCTTGTATCCTCTCTGGATATAGTCATCCGGATCGCATGTAACAGCAGTGTACCGCATATGAGTGAATTCTCGGTCATCTCGACGAGGTAGGAAACTGTGCAGAATTGTCGGGATTTTACACTCTAGGATAAGTTCACCGTTGATGAGCTGGACTTCTTTCTTCGACATTTGGGCTTCTCGGACACCGCGACGGCTCTGCTTCTCGGGGGGAGGACCATAATGCAGGTTAGGGTCGACCAGTTCTCCGCGTTCGTCGTATTCATCGTCCAAGTCAATCTTAGCCATTTCGTCCTTGTCATCCGTGATGATCGTCGACTCGCTCATGAACGACTGCAGGCTGGCACGGTTGTCGAATTGGGGATCGGAAGCGCGGCCGCCTCCGCCAAAGACATCCTCGTCCGAGTTGCCGATAGGTATACTCGTGTCGTAGCCCGCCGGGGGTGCAAACAGTGGCGCAGGTGGTAATGGCCGTCTCGGACTGCCTCCGTAGCTTGAGCTCGGGGTTCCTGGTCTGGGGCTCCCGTTGAGGTCTGCACGCTCATAATGTGAGCTGACTACCGACGGAGGTGCTGGCGGTCCACTCCAGTTAGGCGCACGGGTTGGTGACCAAGGGCGCGTGGGTGAAACGGGACGAGATGCATAGTGCGGTAAGTCGGCCGTAGATGCTACAGGCGGGGGAATGGTAGGCGCATGTCGGAGGCTCGATGCAGGTCTGGACGGGGAACCATCCGGGTCATATCGATACTGGCTTTGGGCATACTGCTCCTGTTGTTCCGCTCTGCGATTTCTGTTAGACGCTCGCTTCATATATAGCATTTCAAAAATCATCTTCACAGAGGATTTCAGCGGATGCTACATCCGCCGCGTGAGCTTCGCAAATGGCAATGTGATGTACAAAATTTTTGAGAATGGTGTGGACATTGAATGTTTATATCACAAGTACAGTTTCCGAGGAGATATGAACTTCTTCAGTCCTCCCTGAGCTTGTTTCTCACACAAGTGATGATTGGGCTGAAGATGCAAACAAGGGGGAATCAAGTATGGTGGTAACATATGGCGATAGCAGAAAAGCTCCACTAGCATACCAAAGAATCACACAGAGGAGGGCGAGCAAATTTAGAGTGACTTACACTGCGTCATCAGTGAATGAATTACCATAGTGATACTCCGAGGTCATGCCGGTGCCTGCACTCAGATCACTATCTACCGCCGAGCTCGTTGGGAGCAATCGCATTGTGGCTCCATGCAGACGCGACGCCGCGGGCGAGGAATCAAGATATGAGACTTCACCATAGGAACCATATGCCGGGGGCTCCTCCTCATGACTCCGTGCCGGTATATACCGTTGTGAGGAGTTGTTCATCGTGATTATATCCTCAATACTCAATTTTTCATAGTCTCCGACGGCCAATCGCTGTAGCACGGTCAATGCTCGATGCGGCCTTGTCTAGGAGCCTGTCCACTTCGGTAGGGCTGCTATCTGGATTTATTGGGGGACTAGTCTGTTCATGCGGCTCCTATATCATCTCATCTACAAATTAGTTTTGTCTTCGCACAGATAAGCACCGGACTGTAGCAGATTAGAGATGCCACTGACCAGGAATTGCAGCCTAAAGGCTGATTGGTAATCGCTCTTGACAATACAAATATACGTTAGGCAATCACCAGGAATGTGTCTGAAATGATATGCAATTTGAAGTATGTGAGGACCCTCTTCGGTGGATTTTGTTGAGTAAGAGGAGACACGACTGTGGTAAACAACGATCTCACGGTCTTCAGATCAAGTCTCCCACACCGACCCACGGACAGCGCGCAAACAGAATCATAGCGCGTCAGCCCGTGCCTTTCTTATTAAGAAACTGGGCAAGGTCATGGGCGCCTAAAGTCAGTCGTTAGCCCGGCGCTGACGACCGGCCCAGCGTGGGGAGGGTGGCTGTCTCCAGGGCAACCAGGAGGCTGGGGAGAAGCGGGCGGGGCGACAATCCTTGCAGCTTAGAAACATATTGGTCGGTGAGATTGCGAATGAGAAGGTATTTACTTCGGTCTGGGTTTGGTCAGTTGTCTCAAGACAGACAATTAAATTGCTGTGGACATCAATGTACTCAATTGTGTTCCTGGCAGTTCTTCCACCCCTCGTTCCGACGCTCGTGCAAACAAGCGAGAAGAAGCCGCACGGACACCGGGTCCCTCGGTGGAACATGCGTCAAGAACCCGGCTATCAACTCTGATCCTAAAAAATAATACCAAGGTTCATCATTGTTAAGTACCGAACCACATTCAATTTGAGACTAAGAGAGGATACAGTGGGGACAGATCGACCGAACCGAGACAGATTCACGAGCGGACACATGAGAAAGAGACGCCATGCTACTGTTGTCAATAAATGTACATGAAGAACAAAGATCCACCGGAGAAGCAGTAAAAACTGGACCATATTCACCATTGAAGCACACCCGGTTTCATCATGAACGGCACTTCGTTTTAGGAGAAACACAAAGTCGTGCAGCATTTACGAGAAGGATTATTTGCGCACAGCATTCCTTTCGGATGCCAATTCAGTCTGGCCACGGCTAGAAGTATTACATGCTAGCCTCCGTTCCGAGTAGCTCGGAGTCCACGACAAGGCAGATCAAGCTTAGGCTGTTGGCTCGTTGAGGAGAGGTTCTCTCTCGCGGTCAGTAGTACCAGACTCTCCAGTCCTACGGAGTAGCACATTGCGGCCGGTGTACTTGGTCATGGAGATGTAGAGGGATTCCACGAAGAAGATGGCGAAGATAACGATCGCAAAAATCCACTGCAGAGAAATCACCTTCACACCGACTTGCTTCACCGCAAGAGCTAAAACACATATATTAGCATGGCGATGCGGTCCAGGCCAGGCGACCATTGAGTACTTACCGAGCGTCAGCAAGCTCAAACTGTATCCGAGGAGATCATCCTGTGCAACGAGGATGTGGCCAGAGCCCACGGCAAAGAGCACCCAGATGAAGATATTAGCGACGATTCTCGCTGGCAGGCTGTTGCTGTTTACAGCAACAGCTCCGTTCCAGAAGAGTGCGATGAGGGTCCAAGCGAACGGAGCCGCAACAGCGGACAGATGAGCAAGAGGGCTCAGGGTGCGGTGACGCCAGTACGTCGCATGTTGGTTGATGAAGTGGGCAATCAGGATGATTTCTGCTCCCCAGAAATGACTGCGAGTCCACAGAAGGATCCAAGCGAAGGTGAACAAGTTGTTGAGAATGAAATGAGTTCCCACGTTTGCCGCGCCGGTGACCAAGACAGCGTCTTTGGAAAAAAGGTGATAGACGTAGCCGATCTGAGAGAGAAGAAGGATGACCCTGAGATATATGATATGTCAGTATCGCTCTAGCTTCCGGTGAGACGACAGGAGCGCATATACCAGTAGATGCGTGTGATAATAGTACTCAAGCTGAAAGCAGTGATGTGCTTGTTGGCTTGCTTCCAGATGGAATGACCATGCTTCACATCATCGGGGGAGTTGGAAGAGTAGTAGATGCCAACTATCAACACCAGCAACCATGACAAAGGAACCAGGATGCGGTAAGTGGTCAGGGTAGCCCTGGTGTGAGACTCACGCCTGGCAAATGGGTTGTCTGTTAAGGGTCAAACGGTCAGTATTGTAGTTGTCCAGTATGCATAGCCAAGCAGGAGCGCTTACAAGGAGCCATGTTGGGTTGAACCGACAGCGACAAAATTTGATGATACTATCTTCAGACAAATGAAAAGACTCGAGTGAGTACGAGGGACAGAGGAATGAGAAGGAGTATAAGAAGAACAAAAGGAAGAAAGAAAAAGAGTTGACAATAACTTGGGAAGCAGTCGTCATCCCGTCATCGTCGCAGGCGGCCGCACCCCGCATTGCCTGATCTTCTGACCTGACAGGCCAGGCCAAATCCACTACAACAACTCTACCTTTCTTTCTGCTTCAATGAACATTTTAAATTTAGGGTTGGTTGGTTAAAGTTTCTGGTAGGGAATGAATCTTCCACTTTGCATTGAACTGCTGTTGCTACTACTAGGGGGTGTTCATTGAGATTTGATCTTGCACATGATACCATTGTGATACATTGTCTATTGATTGAGCTATGGAGTTGATGACATCATCCGGTTGGAACTCATTCCAACTTCGAACACTAAAAATGGTAGACCGCAGTTTGCAGTATGAGGTGAAGGTACCCGGTAGGGAGGAGACTGACTATACTCCGTACTGTGTACTAACCAGCATCCAATTTTCTTTCCCTCACGCCCTTTCCTTCAGGCTAACATCAATGTCGGTAGGTTACTCAATTCAGCACTCACTCTCGAGAGCTGATCGACGTCTCCACGCTGTCGATCGATGCACGGCCCTATCAGCGCTGGCAGCTGGACCGCTCGAGGTATGCCTGCCCACCAATGCTGCTTCCCTGAGCTGGGTCTCACCAACTGACCCCGTCGTTGGCACGTCATATTGCATTTCAGTCCAGTCTGTATGCACACGTGGACTCGCCCATGGACTGCCTTGAGTTGCTCTGCGTGTGTATTCACAACCAAAGCACCGAGAACAGTCACCACTCGTGTCTCCCTAAATTCACTTCGATTGCGAGAGCAAGATATTGAGTTTGCCATGGGACGCAGTGAAAGGAGGTTCCACAGTGCTGCATCAAATTTACTGCTCGCGGTTTTGGCCACTAAGCAACATCGCCTGTCTTACATGATCTGTTGCACAGCGTCTACAAACCGTTGGTGAATAGATGAAGGTGCAACAATCATCCCGTGACATCCTGCCAAGGTACGCCCCAAGCTGCAATCAACCGGGCGACCAGCGAGGTCGCTAACAATGCAGCCAACCTCTTCAACAATCAACATACCGCCCGCATGATCCCAAATTTTCGACCGATACGAAGCCTTGCGGGGAATCTTCATTGATGCGTTGCATCCTCCAACGGCAATTGCGATGTATCGCAGCTGGGTAGCCCAGAGATCTGTGGTATGCGGCCAAGGGGCGCCCAGGTGAGCTGCAAGCCGGGCATGCATGTTGATATCCGATGATCCGCCCGCACAGTCAACAAAGACAAGATCCTTGGGGTCTGTGATTGCTGTCTTCTGCTCGAGCTTATGGGCCGGAAGCAGGGCGCCTGTGCCCATCTTCCTCATAAACGCGCCGTGCCCAGCAACGGCAAACACCTGATGACCATAACCTTCTCGATCCACTATGTCTTCGTGGATGTATCCCTTTTCCAGGTTCATGTTTGGACAGCCCAGAACACCGACCTTCTGACGGCCATTCTCTAATAGACACAGGCAGACGGCATACTGCTGACCCTGAATGAAGGTGGCCGTACCGTCCACCGGATCCAACACCCAGGCACGATTTTGCGAGCTGCAAGTACCCTGGGCTCCCAAGTCGATGATATTCAACATTTCCTCCTTTGTTCTGGGAGTATAAAGCTGCGCATCGCTCTCCTCATCTGCCAGTCGAGTAGACGCTACCAGCTCCCAGGTCCGATCGAGGAGAGCCGGGTCGGATCTTAGCGCGCTCGCGCTTTCCTCCCCAACGAACTCGTCCTCAGGAAAGGCATGATGAATAGCGGCAATGATCAATGCTTGGGCAGCAAAGTCGGCGATCGTGACTGGGGTAGAATCACTCTTGTCGAAAGACCCTTTGTCGACAGCCTCTAGTAGCTTTTTGGTCGCCAACGTAGCTCTTTGCACCGTCAAGGAAGCCAAGTGCAATTCTTTGGCGTAGGGAATGGCGGGATTCATGATGAGGTAGTGTGCAGTGTGCGTATTTAAGAGACAAGGTTTCAAGGTAAGCAAGAAGTTCTCAACGGCGTTATAGAAAGCCGGTGCAAGAAAATTGACTTCAGTCGAAACTGCTCGATTGGATTGTGCCCGAAAAATGGGAGTTGGAGAATTGCTCAGCAATGACGGTGAGAAAGACAAACGCGACCGCCTCGTACTCAGGTGCGTGCAGGGACTGAAACCCGGTGTGGAGTCTCTTTCGCTGAGGGGCGCCTGGTGACGTAGAGCAAGACCTGGATATCAATGGTGAGCTGGAAGGGGAGGCTGAAGCAAGCAAGAGGCGATGATATGGGCAAAGAAAAGGGTCAATTGCTTATTGATTTAGGTCTGTGGATTGTAGAGGGAGATTTCGCGGAGGCGAAAGAAAAATTATCATGACTCTTTGACGAAAACGGAGGTACTGCTGCAGGGCAGGCATAGCCCACCCACCAGGCACTGCAGGCTCAAAGTCGGTCGTGATCGTCTGGCGGTGGAGTGAGGAGGACTCTTCTCCTTTGGGCTAGCAACCGGTTAGCAACCCGGTTCTGTTTCGGGCATGGTGGGATTGGGAGAATTGGCTCTGCTCTTATCTTATCGTAACTTAACCTTACAGACTTGGTTCTATCGGAGTACGTATCAGCCACATTTTCCTGCTATGGAGAGGGCACATCCTGGTCTAATGACCAGACTGTCATCGTCAAATCCACTGATCTTGGACTCATCTGCAGACTGCATCGGGACAGGAAGCTAGATCATCCGAGATGGCAAAATGATGTATCTAGAAGACGGATCTAACCCAAATCAAGGAGACATTCAGGATCGGCACATGCTCATGTATAGCTTCGACCGTCTCTTACTCTGTCGCCGAATCTTTCCGTTACCATCTATCGCTCTTCGCCCTGGCTCCTGATCGCTATTACGCCGCGTCGAAATGAAAGAAAAAAAAAAAAAAAAAAGAAAAGATATACCTATTATGATTGATAGAAAGCCCGATTACCAAGGGAGCTTAACAATACGGGCACAGGTGATTCCAACCAAGAAGGCTATATTCATGTTCCGCGCTGGGTTACGTGGATGTGAAGCAAGATCCTTGGCTGGGAGTTAAATAGGGTAGAACAGATCTAACAAAGTATGCCATCCAGTGTAACTCACGGCGTCAATACCTTGAAATGTCTGCGCAAAAATTCAACTTGAACGTCACGTTAAATGGCATCAAAACGGAGCGAAAGCAAGTTCATAGGCAAAGCCAACGGTTAGCTTTGCATGCTCCAGCATGTGATCAAAGCTCAGATACTTCACTCTATCATCGGTGGTGTGGATCTTCTTGTTGCTGTTCTCCATCTCTGACTCAGTGGCCATCGCAGATGGATATCCATACTTGCTCGCCGACGTGTGGTCAGAGCAAGCATAGCCGCATTTAGTCTCGATGTGCCCGATTTTGCAGTACTGCCCACCGCATGTTAGCTACTGTTCCAGAATGGGTGACGAAATGGTTTAGACTTACGTCTTTGACGACATCCTTCAGGAATTGCGTCAGGCCCCGATCGACATAGTCGACCATGATCCCAATAGCTTCCTTGCGACCCGCAGCAAGCGACCCCTGAATGTATCCGGTCATGTCCTGTTGAAGCATAGCCTTGACATCGCGCTTATCCTTCTTGTACTTGAAAAAGATAGCCTGAGAACCCAGCATGCCGCCTTCTTCGGCGGAATACCAGTGAAATTCCACTGTGTTGAGAGCCTTCCCCTGGGCAACAGTCTCTGACTGCAGCAGAGCCCGCAAGCCTTCAAGGATAGTAACCGTGCCACTTCCATCATCATCAGCACCCGGTGCCGCAAGGATCGACGGGAGAAATAGGTTGATACTGTCCTGATGGGCACCCAAGACAACAGTGTTATTTGTCTGCCCGGGCACTCGAGCGATGATGCTGAATTGACCCCAGGAGTGTTCAAATTGCTCGACGGTCGCACCATGCTTCGAGGCGCCCGTCTGCTCAATCACATCCAGCACCCGGTTGTAGAGCCACGTCGCGGATTCCACGCCTGTCGCCGATCGATAGTAACGAGTATGGAAGGATGTGAATGTATCCAGATTCTTCTCCATATTATCCTTGGACAGATTGCGGAGGAGTGGGGCGACCTCCTCTGCGTGCTCCATCTTGGCTGGATAGTGCACATAGCTGCCGGCGTTCAGAGTGGGGTAGAAGCCGGTGTTTCGCTCGGCGGTGATGTCAATGAAGTTCACGCCGTCCTAGAAGAGCAGCGCCAAAGAAAGCTGGTTAGCGACGATGAGGAGCATAACAGACAGGCAGAGCTGGCTGCAAATTCGCATAATTCTCTCGGAGTGAATGTCCTTACCAATTTCAGGGACCATTTCTCCTCCTCGGTTACCCATCTTGTCTGATAAGGGGCCAGCTCAATCAGATAGCGCTCTTGTCCGTGGTGAATGCTATGATCTGTTAATGGTTCTTGCTGCGGTAAGAAGGCTCCCAACACAGCTGTGGAAGCTGTTGCGCTGAGCGCAAGACTTGCGATTAATTTCATAGCGTTTCTATGGTGATTTGTTGCAAGCAGGTCTGGTGATTTGGGGGGACGACTTGCGGCCGAAGGAACGGTGAGGGAGGGAAAGCAGTAGTGTCAGCTGGCGACCGATGCTAAGCACGACTGCACCGGGTTGTCGAAGATAGCAGCTGCCCGAGCAGCTCCGAATTGACTCGACTGAGGGATGGGAGGAATTGGAGCAGGGGGAGGGCAGCGCACGATGTGGGCAAGATCTGGATTTATCTACGAAACCCGGTATTATCCTGCACCAATTTGGTAGACGAATGATAACGATGAAAAGTTGCACTGAGGAAACAGAAGAGAGAGTAGGCAGGTCGTCACTCCTCCGTCCGTCCCTGTTGCGTCAGAGATGCGCGCTGCTTAAATAATAGTGCCAGACACATCCCACGTTGGTACTGTACGACTTGGCACAAATTAAAACTGAAGCAACCAGCTGATCTTCTTCGATAACCGATTCTTGCGAGCATTAATTGGTAAATGATTCATTCTATCTACAGGTACGGAGTGGAATGAACGCTAGCCGCCCACTGCAGTGGAGTTGGACTTCCACGGTAGGGGTGACTTGCATTGGCACTGGGCAATTAGGCAGAGGCTAGGACGGCTTCTCCTGGTGATTCAAGACCGTGTTAAGACTATAGCCCATAAATCATGCCATTGGACTACTTGGCTTACCATCGAAGCTTGAGCGCAACCCATCCCAGAATTAATGTCCAGAGTGCCTGAGAGTTTGAGCAATGATCTCTTCATTTGAAGCTATTCATTGGGCTGAGTCAAGTTTTAGGTAATCAACCGATCCCAATCAGAAGTCTCCACAGTATAAACAATGTCCACAAAGGGACAACAAGCATGAGAATTAACGTCCCATCAATCATATACTGAGTAACAAAGTCAGTGCTGTAAAATTCAAGAGGAGTCGACCTGGATTAGCATTCGATGTGGGACTAGGGAACCCCAATGTCTCTTAAAGCATAAGACATTATCCGATATAGCATCATTCCAGGTTTCGTAGATGGATGGTAACTTTGTGGGTAAGGAGTACGATGGATATGTCATGATCCAGGGATTCCCAGAACAGAGACAAATGTGATAAATTATCGATATGAATGGCTGGCTTTATTTTCATCTTTAGAATATATTCCAAGCCCTTCAGAAAGTCTCACAATGCAGCTATAGGCGCAAACAGACCTGGAATAGGGGCTTCTGCTCCTGGATTCAAGTAGGAATTCGATGAGCTTGAAGGGTTTTCTTGAGACCCTATGTGGATACCAGCTTATTGCAAGCATCGAGCATCGAACAGCCTACATGATGATGAACACCGCTCGAGTACTTCAATCACAGCCCAGGACTGGCACCCCGTGTGATAGGAAGACGCCATAGTCTATGCCAGGGGGCCCCTAGATGCAGAGCTCAGGGGAATAATGATTGCCATGGTTTAGGGCTATTGTGCCCTGAGCGTGGAGTAGTTTGTACTATAAGTGATTTGGTAGGAAGAGAATGTATCTAGAAGGTACTATAGGTCTATGTCGATCAGCCTCAGCTCCATGTACTCCACAACTGAAAATCATCCATGTGAGACAGGCGGGCTCCAGGCAGCTCGCTCACTCTCTCCCATTACATCCATTACATCACCAGGAGAATGCTGTGAATCATCGGCTTGCGATCTGCGACGGGACAAAACCGAGCCACCGTTGACTCATTGCGGTCCCTTAGCCTGAGAGCACCTCCTCTTGAACCAGGCCTAGAGTGGCAGGTAGGGCTAGGGTTGAAACTTAGTCTTCTCCAATGACTTTCGTCTCATGCTTCTCGTGTTCCATCAGAAGGGAGTCCATGGATGGACGGACGAGGTCGAAAATTTCTCGGCGGTTCACCCATCTTCTTACATGTACCGTAACTGGTACGCGGCGTATGGGGCTTGATCGCCCCCGGACGCGACCGGGAAGCGCAGTTGTCGGTTATCTCTCTTATCTTGCTCGTCCTGCCTTCAATTCGCCCCTCCGCTCCTCCTTCTCCCTCAGCCTCTCCCCTTAGGCGATTGATTGCTCGTACGTCTTCCGGACGGTCGCTACTGCATATCCCACCTCTGTGCTGCCTAGAATTACAATTCTCCTCAATTAAAGTTGCCACGCTCTCCCTGTGCTGAGCCTTGCGCACCCCCACGATCCAATTGAAACGCGTTGTGCTCCCGCAATGGCGATTCACCCCAGCTTTCCGTCCGATGCAGACCCCAGAGGCCACCTGTCGCCGCAGCAGGCTAGAGCCATCTCGGTTTGGACAGAGCAGGCCGCTGCCTCTCTCGAAAATCTGACCATTTCGGAGCCGATCTCATCCAGTGACAGGATTGTTTCCGTATCACAGTCCACGCCGACTCGGACTTCATTGCGCGGAGCCACGGTATCTCTATCGATTCCCTTGGATGATCCGGTGCCAAAGACAGAGAGCGCGTCTGCGGCTCGCGCTAAGCTTCTGGGTCAGACTGCAAATGAAGTTCAACAGGTTGCCTCTGTCAGCTTCCGTCGCCGAGAGCCACTTCGACGCGACAGTCTGAAGAGGCGCGAGGCCCTTCTGAAGGGAAAGGATGGCAGTCGTCGCAGACAACGCTGGGAGAATGGTTTGTCCTCCGAATCCCACCTCATTTTCGAGCGCCCTGCAGTAAATCTGATCAGCTGCCGTGGAGTTAGTGGACACGTCACAAATACTAACCCTTTTTGAACTCAGACCGTCTCTTGCACAATCCCTGGGCTGAGCCGCCCTCTTCTAAGGATTGGACTATCCAGCCAACGTATACCCGACACAATCCCTTGCCATACTATCTCGCACCCCTATGGGATTCTCATTTTTCGCAGTTGGACCACAACTCTAAGCGGTCCGGCGCTGGCGCGGTCAACGAGAAACATCGCGTACCGAAGGAGCTGCGTACGAAGCTCAAACACGCACGTGGCGCACGGGGTATGCTCCAGGACCTGGAAGAGGACATCAGACAGTTTATCCAACGTTGGAGTGAGAAACAGCTACTGCTCCAGAGAGAGGGGCTGGCCGATGCCCCTCAGTCATCCGACGAGGATGACTCTGAGGATGAGGTTGTGTTCGTAGGTCGCAACGGGCTGATGCACGATTCGCCACAGCGCAAGGCGAAACTGCAGCAGATGCGAGAGGCGATGAGCGCACACAACGAGCGCGACGGTGAGAAGATGGTGTTTGAGAGCTCGCTCGATGACCGGGGTGCCGGGTTTGGGTAGGTTTGATGCTTCTTGCTGGAGCCTTCGTTACCATATGCCTTGCTGACTTGGTTCTGTTAACAGGCGATGGCTCGTCCACTCGATTGCAACGTATTATGGCTTACATACGTGGTCTGTCACCGTGGGTGAGCCAGCCCGGCGCGAAGCTTATGTTGGCTTCCGACCGCCGGTATCGTCCAGCCGACCCGAATCCAATTTTGGAAGCTGCCATCGTGAGGTAATGATTCAGCCCGGAGATGAGTTACCCCAGCCGCTGTGGGCTCAGGTTTGAGCCGATATGTAAAATGGATCAGGATTGTACAATCTAAACTCGCAGATAAAGCTGTAGATGGGTCGGTTCGAGGCAAGGTGTTTGAACTCCATTATAGTCGTTCAAGATTAAACATTGTTCTCCATCTTTCGCCATTGGCAATGGGCCGCGGTAGGTTCTGCCACTACGACTAGGCCTGATATCCCGAGTATTGAGACACTGTATAATGGTGGTTTGAGTGGAAGAAGGGACCATATTCCGCACAACTTGCCCTGGGCAAAACGCAACTTGAAAGCCTCCAGCAGAGCATTGAAACAGTATGAAAGCACTCCCAACTGCAGACAGCAAGCGGCACCTTTACCATCCTTCCCTCGCATAGAATAGTGATACTTTTGGCATGGCGAAAACGTAGAAGAAGTAAGAAGGAAAAAAATACTGCGTACTCTGTAGTATGATCCTGAATGCGACCACGAAAAGGAAACAGTCTTGCATATGCACCATCACCGAAGCTCACACTGTACATACAACAATACCGAGATGGAAATTGGGCTGGATGCAATGCACGTTGCGTTCATTACCACAGCCAAGATCCAGTGGCTATTGATACACGTACGTGCAGTGCAGTGAACATGGGTAGGCTTTACTAAACGGCATGACTTACAATGCAAGGTAGTTCTCGATCGCAGAGACTGAATGGGTCTCTTCTGAACCTGGGGAGATGACATCAGATAAAGATATCGAAAAGGATCCGGACGCTGGCGGTGGCATGACAGCTGACAGGGTAGTAAGCTTGCTTTTGCGTTCGCTTACATGCGATCTTGAGTTATTTGACTTGTGAAGTGGAATGTTGTAGGATGTAGGTACCTAGGTAGGGAAGACCGAGGTCTACCTAAGGTCGTAGCGGAAACATTATCACAACTGGTTCTGTGGTAGTTTCTCCTATGTGTGTGACGTAGGGATACTGCTTTTGTTCATGTTCACATTGCATCGTCAGAATCATCATGTGATTGTTCGCCCCAGAGGAAACAGGGTGTACTATGACTATCGCTGTCTAAATTGCTTGGGTGTCTGCTGGATGATCTACCCTAGCTGCACCCTGTGCTCTCTCCTCTCCGCGCTTGTTCGTCCCAAGCCGGTTTCCAGGGTCAATGATGGTGGGATTGTCATGATGATGATGCTGCTGATGATGCTGCTACACGTATAGGAAATCTGTATTATGCTGATTGCGGGGCAGTGTCGGGAAGGATGGCAGGTGAGGACTCCAGGCTCGGCGATTCAGTCAATGGAGGGGGGGGGGCAGGAAATTACGATAGGATCTTTATAGGCCAACGGTGGATGCACGATGTCATTCAATAGGAATTTTTTCTGTTCCTTTCGTACTTTGTTCGTGTGGTGCATCCTGGAAGGTCTTATGCGCGGTGCAAGGGACGCGCTGTGTCACGATGCTTTTCCCTTGTTGGGCTCGGATTGCTTGCGAGACTGGAGATTGAAGAGAGTCAGACTGTGGAGTGAAGGTGGGGTAGGGTCTGGTTTGATGATTGATATTGGCGTTGTTATCAGTGATTACAATAATAGATAATCTAAAATGTAGTGAGCCGATTGTTATAATGAAGGAGTAATATCAGGCCATACTCTTAGTCTACCAGTAAACAACCAAAGGCAGGGACACTGAGTCGACTCCATTTTCTCCCTCCACTTCCCCCCGTCCAGCGCGGGGAAGCCCCTCCGTCCTTCGACACCAGGAGCACAGCTCGTATTGAACTTCCCATGGGCAGCGAAGAATCTCGTGTGACAGGAAAATGTGACTTTTACTCAACTCTGATCTCTGTATATGATATCGGTGCCCCTCGAAGTCCACTTGCCATCCTCCACAATGGCATTGGCAACCGTGGTAAATAGTCGGGGACAGTTTCGATGTAGCTGGCAGTCGGTCCGATCCGGCTATTCCCCATCAGGGTTCCATGGGACGGTGGCTGAAGATCGTTGGGTCATCACGATCAGGCATCGATGCCAACGAAGTTAGTATGGACGGACTATCTACTACGAAGTACTAAAGTAGTATATTTCGAGTACTACACAGTACTTACTCTGTAGCTGGGGAATATACGGGCAGTCGGTGTGCATTGCATATCGTTGCTTAAGCCCAATCGTTTTCATGCAGTAGCCACTCACAGCCCTCGACAACTGCTCGCACACATCCCCCCGCTTCCTGACGAACAGGCCCTCGTTTCCTGAAAACGGTCGAGGAGTCGCCGACTCTCTGCAGGGACGATGAGCAAACCGGTGTCGAGTCATGACTTCCGTTGAGCAGATCATCCTACAATACAGCAATGATAAGTGAGTCGACTCGCCTCGACTCGGATATGATGTTCACCCGCAATCCTCCGCATTGACCTCAGCCCACAGGGAATTCCGGAGAATATCGTAGAGACTGTGGCAGGCAGACACTTGACCGGGATTGCCTCAACCGAGGGAGCAGGAAGGAGGTGGGGAAGCGTAGCATGGCAGCCAGTAGCAGACTAATCGCCCGTCAGTCAGATTCTAGAACAGGACGATCGCAGCGATTGAGGTAAGACCTCTTCGGAGAATCGTACTGAGATGAACAGAGTTGGCTGGTCGTGCTTATGTGTGAGAGAAAAAGAACAAGATGTTTTGCGCCTTGCTCTCTCCATCACGAGTAATGGTGTTCTTCCTTCCCCCTTCGCCACGGCCCAGGCGTCGATATAAGGCTGTGGTAAACAACATTCTTGCTGACGAGATGAAGGTGCTAGGAATAGAAGTGTACATACATAGCTCCCAGAGTTACATTAGCATAATTCCTGTTGGTTGGGATGACAATCTCATTCATAGAGTCTTGATTACTCCGTAGTAGTTCAATCAATGAGGCAGAAACAGAGAAGAGCACCCGATCAAGCCACGGGGAGAATTGTTGTTCATCAACATCACTACTAACCAACTCAAACCGACGTGGCTGCTTCTCCTTCCTCTTCCCTGTCCACCCCTCATCTATCATTGATCCATCCATCATCCAACGAAACTTATCCGACAACACGCGCTCATCACAGCAGCTTTCCGACTTTTACCCTCTCACACGGTCTTTCTCCCTCCAATCAGTTCTTCTCGAGTATCTGCCTTTTTTCCTTTCTTCCCATGTATTTTCTTTTCCCTTTCCGTTTCCTTCAACCCTTTCTCGCCGGTTTTCTCTTGCGACTCGATGAAACACTCAGCTTCCGACCTGGCGTCATCTGCTATGTTCAGTTCCTTCTCCGGCCCCCCTTCCACATATTTTCCTCCCCATCATCCATCCATTCCTTTCCCACCCCTCGGATCGCCCTCCCAGACTTGATTTGGGTTTATTTGGAGCCCGACTCGCACTGCCCGCCCTTTTGTCGCTTTCTCTGTGACGGATGGACCGTACTGGCGGACAGTGACTGGATTGATAAACAAATTCCCCTCTTACACCCACCCTCCTTTAAGGGGCGTTTATTATTATCATCTTTCCTTATTCCCTGACCCTTTAATTCAAGCTTCCGTATCAGCTCTGTCCCCCGCCTCTCCCTCCAGCCCGCTATCATTTACGGATGACCATTAGTTCTATTCTGCCTGGGATAGTGGTCAGCCTCATCTCGGTCTGGGAAGACCTGCGCAAACGAGAATCTGTTTGACCGTGTGTGTGCGACTGGACAGTCAAACAGTCCCCAGACCGCGGGATCCATTCGAAGCTGTGATCTGAGTACTTGCGTGCTGGCCTCGCTAGTTTTTCCGTTTGATCCCCCTTCTGCATACCCAACAGTCATCTCCAGACTCTCCGTGATCGAATCTAAGTGTCACAGCCGAGCTGTAATCTGGTTCCGACTCGGGCATCGAAGCACGACCACTGTTGTCCGACTGAAAAGATACCCAAAAAGACACTACTACTACTATACGCTCCGTACTCCCACCACTACTCCCTGCACATTCAGCTGGTCCCTTCCTCTGTCCCCCGCGACCCTATCCTATCCTATCCTATCCTACCCTAATCTATAATCTTGTTGTCACTACACTAGCGTCACCATGGGTTCCTACAGTACCTCATCCTCCTGTCAGCGTGGTCCGACATCCGGCGGGAGTTCAAGTTCGACCAACAGCGATGTTTCGGACCGCTCGAAAAGCACGGTCCCTACGATCTACAGCGATCGACCCACCCCCATGACGGGAATAACAATGGTTTTTGACGGGGAAGAAGACCCCAAAGCCTCGGTTACGACCTACACTTCTACCAACCCTTCCGTGGATGATCTTCCCGAACCACCGCGCTACCAAGTAACCGACCGTAAATTGGATATTTTCTCCCCGGATGTCATTCCGTCAAATCCGTCCACTTTTGGACAATTGTTTCCCTCCTCACGGCGACTTCTAGTCCGACATGATGATGCGACACTTGATGGCAACATGAATTTGCGGGTCGATACCATGGTTCCGCAGCGCGGGGGGTACCAACAGGATGTGACTTTGTTTCATCTTCGCATGTATGATTTGTTCTCGCGGAAATTTTCATTCCGTCGCTACAGTCGCGACTCTGGACGAGAAGTGTGCCATTCGGAAAGGAGGCCGTTGGCAGGCTCTGACAGGCAACCTATGTTCCGAAGGTCGTGGAGTAGTGTCCTAGCCAGCTTGCGGCCTGGGTCAAGTGGACACGGAGCTGTACCTGTCGCGGAACATAAACGCCAGGATCCAGGATACAAGTTAGCGGAAGACAACGATGAAGATTGGGATGTGAAGCATATAGAGACCAGGCCTGGTATTGATCGCCTTCAATCGGCCCTGGCCGAGAGCACGTTGTTGGAGTTTTCCAACTACGCGCATGTAGAGCTGAGGCGACGGGGTGCCGGGCAATCGAAACGATATGACTTTGAGTATTGGTCCACGAGATACCAATGGAGACGTGAGTGCCGGAAAGACGGCGACCTGCGGGAACTGTCGTATCATCTGATCAATATGCGCACCTCCAAGCCAGTTGCTCATATTGTGCCCGAAATTCTCACCCCCATGGAAGCTATTGAGGAGGAGCGCAAGGGCGGATGGGTTTCCCCTTCATCCATGTGGATCAGTGATCCGGCCGTGTACGAGAAGATGCCTGACGTTGCCGAGTAAGTTTTCTTTCTGACTATTTGTGAATTTGAGTTTGAGGCTGACTAGTGAACAGCGTGATTGTAGCCACAGGGTTAGTGGCGCTAGTTGATGATTGCATCCGCCGGAAATGGCATTCGAAAAAGCACTCCCCACGCATCCATCCCGTGCGATCAACACTTTCGAAAAGTCTTGAGCTCATGGGTCCTAGGAGATTTCTTGATGAGGTGTTCCATCGACGGGGGTCAGCCTGAGCTGAAGTCTGGGACGAGGTGGATGGTGCCATGACGTGGTGGCCTTTCATTCGGATGTTCGCGTCGGCTTCTCCCCTGGAACGAATCTAATGAGCCTAATGAAACCCTGCTCCTTGCGTTCCTCTTGCATATTGGTGGGCTGACAAGGTGCTTTTGTCGCCAGGAGGATGGACGCGTTGGGCGGCGGCCGGAAGTCCAGTCCGGCCTGCTGTCTATCTGTCTATCTGTCTAGGATCTAAGGGAATATAACAGGAACCGGAGGATCATGCATGCATGCATGTTATCTTGCTAGTTGCTGGCAGGCATAAGAGGGGAAAGGGGCTGTATGTAGGAGATCGGTTGGTTCATAGTTTCAGCCTCGCCTGGCTAGGCTGGTAGTATTCCTTCGACTGAGACTACTTGGGATAATCTCTAGTGTATTTAGTAGACTGATGCTTACGCAAGTCACATTTTGACGATGCATGTATGTACGGCGAACCTATGGGAAAAGAAAAGTCAATTTGTGCAATCTGTCACCTGCTTCTACTTCTCCCAGGGGGGAGCGGAGGTGGGGGAGGTGGAGAACCTGGGGAGGAACAAGAGGGAGATACTGAGATTCAGTCATTTCTGCCTGACTTGATTCTTTCCCCCGTCTGGACCAAGATTAGCCGTGCAGATGAAGTTGACTGGATCAGAACCGTTGGATTCCCGGCATTCCATCCATGGGGCGACGAAGAGGGGGTGGGGAAGGGGGGAAGGGGAGAAGGATTGCGCCCACCAGGTCTGGGTAGTGTCCCTGGAAGTCCCTGGAGTTTCTTCTGACTTGTATTTACAATGGGTTTGAGAGGATGTAAAGAGAGCAAAACTGGCCTGAGGCCGAGGCGGGGCTACTTGAGGTTTGTTTCCATGGATTGTTTTGACGCCGGGCCTCGGAAGCGTACCAGTCTTTGTCTTTGCTTTCGCGCGCGCTCTCTCTGTCTCTGTCTCTCTGTCTCTCTCTCTCTGTCTCTCTGTCTCTCTCTCTCTCTCTCTCTCTCTCTCTCTCTCTCTCTCTCTCTCT